TGTATCGCAAGGTGGGTATGTCAACAAAATAATAGCGAGCAATCGTTGGTTTTACTTTGGACAGCTTGGATGTATTGAATGCTGGGCGATATTTGCCAGCACTCAAAAGGGATGGATGCTGCGTTTATTTGTATACAAATACTTGTACATATGTATGTATATATGTACATATGTACATATATATTTCCACTTTCTATTGCTTTGCCTTTATATTCCACTCAAACTCTCTCAACACGTATGCAGCATTGCCATTGCCATGGCCGCAGGTATGATGTGGTGCGACCATATGGAAACATACCCACTTGTATGATGAAACGTTTTCTCGATTCCCCCTCATGTTTTCGTAGCAGCCGTTCGCGTCCTAATATTTATAATGCCTTTCATTGTACGCATTTCGAGTACTTGTATGAAATTAAAAATTGCATTAACGTCTTTCTTACGTCCAATTTTCCTAAAATGCGTATTAATGAGCTCACAAATTAGTGGTGGGTGAATTCTTGTAATGTGATATAATAAAATATTTAATTCGGTGTGTACATCGATGAGCATGTAAGTTTAGTTGTTCCTGCTTACAAGAAGCGATGATTGTGACGTATGTGCATGCACCGATAAAATTTTCGTCAGATGTACGAGGTGGAATCGCAAAATAATGTGAAATGTCTGCTTCAAAGTAGTCGTCCAGAGATATAATTCTGTTGCGCCAGTTGGCAAAATTTGAGGCGAATACATAACTTTGGTCCGAAGTGTGTAAGTACCAGAAGAAGAAGAATGACAAGTAGAGCTAATTTACCCATGTCCGTCTGTTTGTACACAAAGAACCAAAGCGAGAGTTACCCGTTGGGCTGAAAACTATCGAAATCGGACGGACGCATACAACGATTTTTCACATATGAGCAAAGAGCATCTACAAGCATTAAAATCAAAGCACTATATCAAGTAACCCCCGTACACCGGATTTGTTCAGATATCCGGATTCGGGTAAAAAATTCTTCAAAACAGCATCTAAGAGCATGAAGTTTTGCATTCTACACATGTACAAAGAAAGAAGGAAACACTGTCACCTAAAATTATCGATATCGGAAAAGTTCATCATATAGCCCCCTCCGACCTATTTTTCAAATTCTAGAGTTAATACTGAATCTTAAAATGAAATACCATAAACTAGTTATGGTCAAGGAAAGCATAAAGACAGACTTCAGCATGACCGAAAACAGCTCTTCTTTCTTGGGATTACTGAATTTAATTTCTCAGACACTTTTTAGTCACTTTCGGCAATCGCTTCCAACTCTTATGCCTCTCCCAAAAAAAAAAAAAAAAACAATGCTATTGTAGTTTAAAATATGAACGTTCGTATGTTTGTTCGAAACTAATGAATCCAATGACATTCACGTATCAAGAATATCAACGAACGGACGTAGCCCGCGAAATTCGAAAAATCAGAAAATTTCTTGAACAAACCTCGTATGCGAAGACCAAAGGCGGACGCCAATTCAACCGATAGCTGAATAAAAGTAACTTACGCATATGTGTGTATACATATGTATTTTTACTAATGGAAGTTCTATTCTCGTGTGGAGATTGTAATTAGTGTTATTAGAGGGCATTCGCGAGTAATTATTTATTTATTTTTTCTCGCTGCTTTATGTACCAAATTTCAAGTAAATTGCACAATAAATACTTGTTTTGGAATAAGTCGGTCCCTTGTCCACTTCCTGGTGTAGAAAGTAGTTTACGTCCTATTCTCAGACTTACTGAATATACATAAAAACATCATTTAATTTCATCACTTGGTGAAGATGTTATCAAGCAAGTGGTCGTCCTGAATTCTTATAGTGCATGATGCCCGTTTTTCTGCATTTTCCATCGTATCTGCGAATGTTTCGACTAATATGGCGGCTAGCTCTCGACGGATGCTGGCTCCAGAGAATAAAGTCCGACAGTGTGAAATCTTTTTCGTTTTTTTTTTGCAGGAAACAATAACTCCGAAAAGAAAATCAATGTAGCACAGACTAATGAACCACAAATGGTCCAAACCATTTTCACGATTAGCTGGCGGTTCATTAGTTCCGCCTAGGACCAGTCAAGATCAGTTTGAAAGTCATCTGTAGGGAGGTCCGAAACTAGCTGAGGGAAGATGACTAGATGAGTTGGTTTTATGGGGCGCGCAAAGAGGTGGTGACTGCCGAGCTCGGACTCATTGTATACAGGGCATATGTTGGAGTTTTCGAGAGAAAGGTTTTGCGTAGGATTTATGATCCTCTACTAGTTGGAAACGGCGAATACCACAGCCGATGGAATAATGAGCTGTATGAGATATACGAGGACATTGACATAGTTCAGCGGATCAAGAAATAGCGGCTGCGCTGGCTAGGTCATGTGGTCCGTATGAATAAGAATTCCAGCTTTGCAAATATTCGATTTAGGAAGACCTCCACTCAGTTAAGAAGACCAGTTAGAGAAGGACCAGGCTGTAGGTGTTATCTCCAATTGGCGCCAAAGAGGGAATTAATTCGATTATAATCGCGTAAACGGTGTCTAAGCCAGTAAGGAAGAATAAGAAAATATCCAGATCTTAATTGTGCCAGTATTAAGCGGGACTCTTCAGGCAGTTCGAGCTTTTTGGCAGCAATGGGCTGTGGTTTCAATCCCAGAACGCCATTCACTGGAAGGGAGTTCAGGAAGGTGTTAACAGATAATCGATGAATGGCGTTTAATGCCTCATAGTCCTGAAGGCGGTGTTTTGACAGGCTTGTAGCTTCTTTATCTGCGTGTCACTAGTCCCCGTCTTCCAATTTTGTGCTGTAGGCACATCCGTGTAGGCTTGGGGCGCACTTCAGTGCTGGCAGCATTGGGCCACATAACGCGTGGACCACTTCTGTGTGTCTTAAGACCTGAGCAGGAGTTTAATATATTTAGAGATATCCAGCATTATTAATGAGATCATGACTTTTAAATTCATGTTTTTTGCACCTTTGCACAGAAAAGCTTTCAGGTTTTGTGAAATGTAAGTAAATAATAAATAAAATTATTACTTTGGGCAATGAATGTTTTTGAGAAGAGGTTTTTCTGGATCCTACACAACCGTACTCGTATAAGTTTTACAGGGATACCAAATTCAGCCAAATTCAAAGCTGCGTAGAGGCATTTGCAGTTCGTGCTGCCGAATATGATTTACATTTTATATTTACATGTGTCTGTAACTGCCAAAGCATTAATTAAATAGAATGAAAACACTCTACTAATAATATAAATACATAAACTTAAACTCTTACTTAAAAACTAAATACCTATCACAGATGTGGGCAAAATAATTGCAGTATGTTTTAATGCCGGGTGATTTGTAAGTTGGGTGCAATTCTAGCAGGTTCTAAAGACATTTTTATGGATGTAATGGAAATCGTATATTGAAGTCCCTTAGCTTGCATTAATGTTTACTTTTTCCATAATTATACATAAGTTAGTTGATGTAAACTAAACCGCTGCTTTTCAGGTCTGTTGAATTGTTTAAGTATATTTTTTTGGAACTGTTTCAGACCATATATTTTTGGAAGTAGTGGAAAAATTACAACAATATAACTTTGTTATCCCATTAAGATACATGTGTGCCGCTTTTATTGTTGTTTTTCACTTTTCCTTTTACCTACAAATCCACTATCAAGCGCTCAGATATTTTGTAGCTGTAAGACTTGGGGCGAAGCTGGAATTTTTTCACTCATTTTAATTAGAAGTAGATTTGAATTCTATACACATTTATATAAGGACGCACTTCCTAAAAGATCGATATACATATATATATATATTTGGCGCTTTGTAATCGCTGAAGTGATTTTTCGTCTTGATGTTGTACCAACAAATGAGGAGATCTGCAGTTTATACTAAGCCGCCTCCGAACGGCTGATGGTTTTTTCTGAGGAACTTTTTTCATGTCCGACATTCTCTTCCGAGAGACGATTTTTTATAACTTTTTGGATGTTAGTACGACACCGTGATTTGAGCCCGAGTCTTCCGAATTTACGCATGCTAACCAATCGGCTACCGCGACCCCATATATGAGTTTACATAATAATTGACACTTTTTGACCCCTGAAGCTATTTTCGGCCGCGTTCCTCCTGCAATTTGTGATGCGCGCTTTGCCATGAAAATGCTCACAGGATAGGTAAAATGCATTAAATGAAAGGGCAAGTGTAATGGCGAAAATCGTAGATGTATGTATATATTCGAACATACAAGCCAATAAAAGAAAATGACATACATACATATAAACGATTGTGAATGAGTTAAATTTACGTCAATATAAATATTTATTATATTTTTATAAGCATTTAAATTCAATTCTGTCCAACAAGGACAACTTAAGGTATGTGTCCATATGTTTGTATGCTGACCACTTAAAAGAAAAAAATCCAATTAAATTAATCAACCAAAATCAAAGGTAGATGAATATCTGGTGCCAAAAGCAGTAAGGCGCAGAACTGCACGCATACATACATACATACATATGTATATGTAATACATACATATTATGTATATGTATTATCTATGAGCAGGAACAACAACAGTAGCTCCGATAAATAGTTCAAGGTCAACACTTCTACGCTGCTCATACCCACACACACACACACACACACAAGCTCGAATAAAATTCAGCTGCACACATACGCATTCGCATGTGTGTTTATATGTATGCAAAATATTGCGTAGTAAGTTTTCCAGAATTTTAGTTGGCTTTTGCTAGTCGGAGACTCAATAACAATCCCAATAGATAATAAAAACAGGAATTAAATTTTATTATTTCGCACACATTGGACTAATACAAAGTTTTAGAAAGTGAAAGGATACCATTTTAATTTTTTTCTTAGCATTTGATATGTATGTATACCTTTAAGCTTATTAGCACATACGTAGCAAGCTTTTAGGCGCGTTTTTTTGTTTTTCATATATCTCATTGAGATATTTAAGAAACCATTTTTACATGCTTATTTCCTGTTGCTTCTTACAGGTGGTGTTGGCACTGGCTGCAGCAATATTTATTTTACTGGCAACGGTGACTTAGTGGCGGGCTCGGCGACTGCAGAAGAGTTGGCGCTCAGCGCTGCTGGCGTGCAGAGTGTAAATCGCGCGCCATCAACATTTTGGCAGTATCAAAGTGAGTTTTCCATTCACTTATTGTTCGCTGTTTGCATTTTGATTCATTAATCATATAATTCATTATCAAATAAATAAATTCTAACTTTCATCACTTTTCTTGTACTTGTTTCTTCAGATGCGCTACCAATCGAATCAGTGATATCTATGTCTCCGGCCACAGTGGGTTTGCAGTATTCACGGGACGCAAGTCGCAGTCAAGTGGTGCTTTTACCGGCTACACCAGCCACTTTAGGTAGGTTCCCTCATATCATTGCACACATCACGAAACACATATCAAATGCAGACATAAATTAACTCATGTAAACAGTAGTAGAAAGCTTACTTATTCATATTCATACCTACATTTTTCTATGTACATATGTACCTTTATTTTTCATATGCGATGTCTAAATACATACATATAGTAAAGTTCATACGAGTGTGAATCTAAAAGTTGCTTTTAATTTACCGTAGAATGCCTTCAAGTTTTTGCCTCACGAAGCGATATACATAGCTCTTATTTCCCCACAGAAGTTACTATATCCGAGGCACATCCAGAAAGTGTATGCGTCGAATGTTCTCAACGTACTGTCCTCGTGTTGCGAACATGATGAAAATAAAATTCTTCCGGCCGTGAGAGCCTCTGTACACTTAGTTTCTTTTCTGCATATGCCTCGCATAATCTTCACAAATATATTTGGCATAAATTATTCCAAATTTTTGGTAATTTGAGATTATATATTTTACGCTTCTTTGCTTCATTTGAACGCAGACTTTCCATCTTTTCTATTTTTCTTTTTACAAGAAAGCGTTTGTTATATTTTGATACACCCTCGTATGAATTTAAGTTTATTTTACTCACTTCTCGCATTTATCTGCTTAATAAGAAAAATAAAGGCTTTTAATTGTGGTGCTACAGGTTACCAACTAAGTTAGAGATAATCTTTAATAGTAAACTTCTGCCGCTTATTTTGCTCTCAAAGTTGTTAGCCAAATAAGGTTGCACATGTCGCAATCTATCTAAATTGCTAAATGCTATTCTTAAGTTCTGAAAACAATTTTTAAAAATATAAATTATTTATCGTAATTACTTAAATTATAGTAGTTCTACAAGACAGATTCAGTTCAGCTTTTAAACGTTTTTTGTTCCTAAATAATTGGTAATTTATAAAAGCCAACCTTATATTGATTATTTTTTTTACCAACATTTTTACAAAACAAAAAAGAGAATATGAAATAGGCAATGAATACAATGGATAATTCAAAATTTTTTTCCTGGTGATGTTGTAATTTTTAATTTAATTTTAAAAACTCAACATTTTATAGAAGAAAGTCTTCATAACCGCAATCGAAAGAGAAAGATGTTTAACCCGCGCGGTCATATATTAGAAAAATAAAACGCATATTAACTAATATTCGTATATTTTTTTGTATTTAAATATTCACTGTGTTTGGGCTCAAAGAAAGTCGATCATAATGTAATTATGAACGAAAACATATTTAGCGCAGTCGATCGACGCCGCGCAACCTCTTAAAGGCAAACAGGAAGATATGCTTATTCTTCTGATTACAACATGTTGCCTTCCAAACGGCAAGCTAAAGGGGGTATTTTTCAAACGAGCGGTTTTCAATGAGGCAATCATTTTCATTTCATAATTAATGACTTTTTCGTGCCTCAATTGGAGGATTGCGATGTGGACATCCTTTGGTTTCAACAAGACGGCAAAACGGCCGTACAGCCAACGAAACAATCAATTTACCAAGCTTTTGTTGAGCGCTGGTAGCATGGCGCTGTTGTGCACTGGTAGCATGACCTTCATGATCGTTAGAATTAGCACCGCTGGACTATTTTTTGTGAGTTTATGTGAAGTCGCTTGTCTACGCAGATAATCCCCAGACAATATGCGGCTCCTATGCTGCAAAAAGTGGACAAAAACTTGCCTCGAATTTATTTGAGCCAGCCGCGGCGGTAGCTCGCCCGAAATCATCAATGACAAACTCTTATCTTTATGATAAAGCTAAGTTTTTGGCCATAACATAAAACCACATGTTTAAAACAACACCCTTTACAAAAAAAAAAACTTTTCAAAAAGGTGTGGGAACAGTTAAGAAACCAAAAAGGCTTCGAAAAGCTCTAGATTTTCTTCTTTGTGGGCGAACGAAGTTTTTATCCCACTTTTTCTGTGTTTCTTTGGTTTTATTTCTTTTTCTAATGTTATTTTCTTATTATTACATTTTTTTTTTGTATCTTAATTATTATTATAAGTATATACTTTTGTATCTACGTATGTATATTCTTACATATAAATTATATTAATAATTTGGTGACAAAGATTAGTTTTATATTATATAATATGTATGTATATATAAAACTGCTTTTAATTTTTATGCTTTGCTATGTGCCTCATTTTCACATTGAAAAGAGTACTTAACAATACTAGAAAATAATATTTAAAAAAACTGCAATTTTCACATTCACTAATTTGCTTTGGTACCCTCTTTTTCCATCCCATCTCCCACAACTACCAAATCACCACCACCACCACTTGAACGCTTCAATTGATATGAAATAAAATATATAAAATTCGAAACCGAACCAAAATTGTTGTTGCCACGTTTGAATTGATTTGACCAAATTTTCAAAATGCAAAAAATCGCGCCTCTAATTCAAAAAAAAAACCCACATAGGCATATCAAATTTTCCATTCTATACACCCACAGATCCGTTCCAACAGGCGGCGGCTTTTGTTTGGCCATCGTACATACCACAGAGTACAACGTCGGCCTCAGCCGCTGCGGCAGCCACCCTACAGCCGCCGCCCAATTTCATATTCAATTCAATGAGCCCACACTCAACGCTGCAACCGCAACCGTACGCCACATCTCTACAACTCTTCGGCTCTAATTACTTAACCGCAGCTGCCGCAGCGGCCGCTGCAGCCGCAGCCACCTCGACATTGTGTCAACACAATCAACAACAAACGAATACGCAGCAAACCACAAGTTCAATCAATTTGAGTTTGTCAGGTCCGGGCTCTGTGCCATCGAATGCCAACGGCGTGGGCGGCAGCGGTCTCAATGCCAACAATAGTGGCCCAAGTAGCCGATTTCTAGGGTTGGCATCCGCTGGCGCACCTGCTTCCGCCATATTCGATGCATCGAAATCACAAAAAACACTGCAGCCTACGTTGACGCTATCACAACCCGTGCCGCCACCGTCCACAGCTTCGTTGCCACCGCCGCCTTCACTAATCCTCCCACCAACCGCCATGAAGATCGAAGAATGGAGTGCTACAGATTTCATGGCAGCTGCTGCAGCAGCGAGCAAAACCAGCCATCCTACAATGGGCTCGACGCCAGGAGCGGCAGCTCATCCGATCGCATTAAACTTCGATAGTCGCGGTAAAACGACTACAAGCACAACGAATTTGTTGGATTTCCACAATGCCGCTGCGGCTGCTGCGAATGCGCAAGCATTGAATTTAATGCGTTTGCCAACTCCGCCAACTTCGGCAACCATGGAGACAGCAGCTGCTGCTGGTGGTGGCGGGCAACAATTGCCACCACAAATACTATTCCAGACCACATCCTCTCCCTCGCCGGCCTTACTCAATTTGTCGGCGTCACTGCAGCGCAGTGCGAATGGCAGTGTGGGCGCTGGCACTACAACCGTCACGCCCACGGGAATCTTTATCAATGGTGCGGCCGGGGCAGCGACGCCGTCGGCACTCTCAACCGCTATCGGTCCTCCAACGCCTCTGGGCGACGAAGGAACAGCTATGAATTTTAAAACAAGCCCCCTGGAAGCCTCTGCTCAACAGCACTCAATGAGTAACATTGTGGTGGGAGTACCCCGGGCAATTAATAACAACGGACAGTCGGCGCAGTCAGGACCTCCACCACAGATGCAGGATGTAAATATACAAACTGATACACCAGTGTGTAGCGATGATGAGAACTCTACGTGTCCACTTGCCATACAACAACAGCAGCAGCAACATCAACTGCAACTGCAGGCGCATGCGAGCTCGGCGAATTCGCCGAGCTACATGAACGATGACGATGGAATTCAACCTCTGGAGCTGACAAAGCAAACCTATCAAGGTGGTAGTCAAAATGGTCCCCAAGGTGCTGGATCACCATTGGCAACTGCGCCAACATCAAACGTACCAACAACGACAACAACAGAAACAAATAAAATTGTGTGCCATAATGAAATGGATGCACCACCGGCAAGCGGAGAAGCCGAATATCATGATGCCATATCACAACCGCCCCAATTATCGTCTCCAATGAAGTCGTCAGCGGGCGAAACAGTGTCATTGCTTCCAGTGACCGAACCAGTAAATTATAGTGAGCATCAGCAACAATCTGGACCAGAAGATCTAACCGGACTTGAATTGCTTTCTAACATCAGCACGAGCACACTAGCTAGTAAAGGAATTGGTGTGGGCGTTGGCATGACAATAGTGCGTGTGAAGCAGGAACCGTTAGACCATACAGACGTGCCCGTCTCGTCCATGACCGATGCAATGCCGACTCCATCAGCCATGCCCTCGGTACCGTTACAAATGTCACAATTCAATTCTCAGCTCTCTGAAGCATCGCAACCGATCTCAGACCGCTGTGACTCCTGTGTGCCCAGAGAGGCTGATATGCAGAGAGCACCAACACCACTCACATTACTACCCGCCGCAGATGCCACCACAACATCACCTAACTTGCCTGCTACCATTGTAGAGCCGTTAGGTGGGCTGAATCTACTTTGTGCTCTTGTTGAGCAGCGTATTCAAGAAGAAGGTCAAATAAGCAGGGGAAATTTGTTTGGTACGAGTGAGTCGCCGCGACCGCCGTCACGATCTAATTCAACATTCGGGTGCCATCCAATGCCACAACTACAAAATCTTTCTCAACTGGCTCAGCCACAACAGTCTCCGAATCGTTTAGAACAGTCTTCCTTTCCCTCCATGGAAGGCATTGAGTTGCCGTCAACGAGTGGACTTGGGCTTGGCATAGGAGGCAGTAGCGAACAGCCAGTAAAGCGCAAGAAGCACAAACATTCCAAATCATCAAAGTCAAGCTCGTCATCTACATTGGCTGGTGTTTCCAAGAAGTCACAGCGTTGTTCGAAGAAGAGCAAGAAGAAATATGCCAAGGAAAAGCGCAAGCACAAGCAACAGCAACAGCAATTGCTGGCGTCTGCAGCTGCGGCGGCTGCAGCTTCCGTTGGTGCTTCCGATGATGTCGATTTTGAGGATGAGCAACTACAACAGGAACTGAAAGGTGCTCTCAACCGCCTCGATCCCAGTTTGCAATTACGTTTCGGCCAGTGGGCTAACGCACAAGAGATATTCGAGCTTATGGAAACTGACATGCGGATACGCTTAGCAGATATCACCCGACAATACCGCAAGAAAAAACGAAAGCTTGACGAGATATCTAAAAATAAGAAGAAAAAGAAATGCGCTAAATTGCTTGCCGCACAACAACAACAACACCAACCTACACTATCACTGACCTCCTTGAGTGCCGCTGGTGTCGGTAGTGGGCTAGCCTGCAGCACAACGGGCACATCTCTTCCACTCTGTGATTACAAGTTTCCGAAATTCTCCACCAATAGTGGCGTGGGTGTTGCTACATCGACGCCGTACTTGAATCGTTCCAGTTTTTCGCGTTTCGGTGAAAAGGCGCCTTCAGCGACTCCCACCCTACCACACGCACAATTTCCTCCACCGGAATGTGACAACTCCGAAGATAACAATACGCTTTCGGCCAGTAGTTCTACCGGTCCTTCCATGGCGGTTTACAAACCGGTTCGACTCGGTCCCAGCGCACTGGCAGGCGCTGTTGCAGCAGCATCTGTCGGTATCGATATGAGAAATGGCAGTACACCGCATCGACATGGACAGAAGCGCTCATCATCCGAAAAATCTGCGAGTTCAGCAATTGTGTGCAAAGAGCCAAAATTGATGGCTGGTATAACTACTTCATCATCTTTACTCTCTTCCAATAGACGATTAAAAGACGGTCAATCTTCTTCAGCCGATGAGCAGTGTTCGCTACGAGTTTCATCCCCGCTACCACATAAAATGGGAGCGAATACTCAACAAGCGGGCGTCAAGCAATCACTGGAGCAAAAGCCACAGAAAACGCAACCGCTATCACAATCCCAACAACAACAATCTAGAAAAGCAATAGATCCGCGTGATCATCGATTAGTGCTAACCAGTGATCATTTGTACCGCAAGGAGACACGCGTGTTAGCCGACATGGGTGGACTATTCTATGCTGGCGTCATGAAACCATTGCAACCGCCTGATGTCTATGCGATAACGTTGGATGGCGAACGCGGAAATAAATCGCATATTATGTCGCGCGAGGAAATTTTCAAAGATACGGTGAGTAGAAATACCTCTCAACTTGTTTTGTCAATAAAATATTTATATTTTTGTTTATAACATATACCTTCCCTGTGTTTATATACGCCCACTCTTTGCCGTATTGAGGCAGATGCGTATCTTATATGCGGAGAGACATTGCTCTGATTTTTTGTTCGGCCCACGGATAGCAAGATTAATATACCCTTCATAAGTAAGATGAAGTGTTTTTTATATACATTGCATCAGAGGATTTTAAGGGGACGATTAGGGCCACTACCACCGTAACGGGTTCAGTGACTTATAATTAGTTGAGACACGAGGTTTAATTGGTATTTGACAATTACGTTTTGCGCTATCGTAATCGACGCAGATAATTTAAACAAGGGAGAAACGGTCTTATGGCGCGATCACTTGGCATGACTAATGCAATATGGGCGTCGAGAATTATACCGCCTTCGCAAAAAAAATAGCGCGCAAAGAGCCCTCATGAATTTTGGACCTCTGTAATGACAAGGAGTGTGGTGTATAAGCCAATTTGCTAAATATAAGAGTGTCTAAAAGACCCCATTTAAGATAGAAGATGGGAAAATTGACGAAAATTGTGTTGCTTTTGCATGACGTCCACAAGAACTGCTGACCTGTTTGAGGTGGGCTTAGATATTCTCAATCAGCCACCTTACAGTGAATGTATGCGTATTGTACGTGAATATATTGAAAAGGAAAAATAATTTGGTTTTTTGTTTCCACCCCTACTCTATTCCTCGTTCCACATACATAAAAACGCTCCCCGGTGGATTAAATCCGTTGCCACAGGCAATTTTTAAGAAAAAAAAACGGCCAGTTGAAGGGAGGAACAGTTTGCTTGCTGGCGCTTCAACATTTTCCTAGGTTACCTGATTAATAGTATTTCTCTGTAATCTTAGCTGCGTACGAAAATATGCATCTATTGTATATCGCATTGAAATGGAAGGGGCTTTCTGTCCAGTTCACTTATCGATTATCGACATAATCAATTGGTGCATTATATATTACAAACATAAATGACGGTGTTGCCAAACAAGTCCAAAAGCAAGCAGTTGCTCATTGCCATTGGCGAATCCCTTCTATGGAAATGACTAATTGTTTGATTTATAAAAAGCGTCAGGGAACGTCAAGTCCTGACATGAAATGAAATTAAAATTTGTGTTGCCATATTTCAGAAAAAAGCGAAGTTGTTCGGATTTTGCTTAAACAAAACTAATACTTTTCATCTCTTTCAGATTCTGGAGGTGGCACCAAAAACCGTAGAGAGTGTACCTGTGGGCACGCGTCTTTGTGCCTATTGGAGTCAACAGTACAGGTGTCTTTATCCTGGGCGTGCTATCGAGTCGGAATCGTCTGACGATGGTGAAACACCTAATGATTCAGTTAGTGTGGAATTCGATGATGGCGACAGTGGGCGTATACGTCTACAGAATATACGCTTCCTACTAAGTGATTATCCAATAGTGGGTAAGTGAGACTGAATAAAATATCAAATACATGCAGTCATCTCTTTTGCGTCCATTCATTTGAGTTTCATTAAAAACAAGGGTCGGAAATTTTCGGATCAAATTATTTTGGATGATGAAGAAATTTCTCCGTTTTTTAATTTTTTACTTTACATTCAATAGTTCGGAAAATGTTTTTTTAATATCCTTCTAAATTAAGTTCAAAGCATAAATTTCCGATCACTCCAATTTCATTTTCATTCACCTCAAATCATCTATAATTTTCGATTGATCATCTATTCTGTATTTCGTGCGTTTTAATTTGTATCCCTACTTTTTCCGTTCTCTTTTCTTTTTGAACGTCCCAACTCCTCAGAGTACAACGATAATCCCCTCTACTCTTTAGGCAAGCACAAAAAGTCTGGCGCCACTGCGCGCTTAGCCAACGGCTCAGCCAGCAGTCATAACTCAAACGATGCTCATGAATACACTTCCACATTTGCACTCTCCGATGTGCCAGCTCCTGTACCATTGGCATGTGATAGTGACCCACAAGCGCAGAGCGCTCAAGAAATTAGCGCACAGAGGAAAGAGAAGAAACGTATAAAGAGTTTGAAGAAAAAATCACAAGCAGCAGCAGCCTTGGCAGCAAGCGTAAATGCTAGTTCGAACGCAAATTCGTCCGCAATGACAGCCAACGCGACAACTGTGAATGGCACAAGCGGCGCTGACGACACCGCCGATTGCAACCGCAAACACCATAAGCATAAGAAACGCAAAAAGCACAAGAAACATCATCATCGCAAGGCCAATGACGAATGTGAGGCGATCAACGGTGCTAATAACACGTTTGTAATCAAAAATGCTGGCAGAGCACCCACAGGAAGTTTTGCGTCGTCAGCATCGTCGGCAACTTTCAAGGGTAATCGTGAGTATTCTGCAGCAGTTACAATTGAGACTGGTAATAATGAAAGCAATAATGCGCCAATGGAAGTTGATGGAGATGAAGTCGGTGAGGAGCAGGTAGCACAAGAAGCGGCTGTAAATATTGCACAAACACATGTTGGTGTTTTCCGAGCAGTAGCTGGCCACAGCAAGTCTCAAACACAGAGCGTAACATCTAGCCTATCCGCTGCTGCTGCTATTAAGGTGGAAAATGCTGCAACAACAACGGCGGCGGCGTCGTCATCAAATGCCAAAGTCAAAACTGAGCGCTTGGATTTGGAGGAGGAGAGCACCTCAAATATGATGTCCGAGCTATCGGATGAAGTAATTAATACATTTTTTTAATGTGTGACGATATTTATAATTTATATTTTATTTTATTTTCTCACACACATAGAACAAATGTGATGAGGATGAGGTTGAACATAACAATTCGAAGGGCAGTAAAATTGCCGCCTTTCTGCCGGAACGGCAACTTTGGGGTTGGCAGGGAAAAGCTTATCGTAAGGCTGGTGTTAAGGGCAGAGCCCGCAAGCAATTCTTTAAAACAATCAAAAGGGGTAAAGAAACAATAACAGTAAGTATAAGAGCAATACGTACGAGTACACGCGTGTGTTTGATGTAAACATTTTACAAATTTTTATTTGAATGCTATATTAGGTTGGGGATTGTGCAGTATTTTTATCGACTGGTAGACCAGATAGGCCATATATTGGACGCATTGAATCCATGTGGGAGACAACGTCTAGCAATAAAGTAGTGCGTGTTCGATGGTTTTATCATCCTGAAGAGACAACAGGCTGTCCAAACGTTAAATATCCGGTAAGTAATATAAATCAATAAAAGAATTTTTTTTTTTTTTTCAATTTAAAGATATATGGATTAGAGAAAGTTAACCCAAACTCGCTTCTAATATCCGCGAACAGAAAAAAAACAGCGAACTACAATAGAGAGGCTCAATAATTTTTACCCCATTTACCTACGCTTAGTGGCTGAATTTTTTCAATTCAATTGTGTTTTTTTATTTTATAATAACAAATTAGACTTCAAATCAATATTTTCAAATAATATATCTTCCAGAGAAAGAACATCCTTGCTATTTTTAAAACTTAAAATGAAATTTTCCTAAGCTAAATTGGAGCTTGATTTGTTCTCATTGTTGTATAAAAGACCTGAAAATCCTGATCATGCGTTGTCGTTTATGATTGATATTATAAAGGCGGTGTTAGACAAACGGAAAGTCCTAATTAAGCTTCAACTCACGCACTATATTAAATTTTCCATTATACTATTGACCAAGCAAGGGTATAAACATAAGTGCATTCAAAGTTTAACGTTCAAATACATCAGCGGCTAATGGAGGTGCGTATCAGATATAGTCAAAGGTTTGGCATTTTTCGCTTCTAAAAGTTTTCCAGGAAAAGATTAATTTCTCGAGTATTATTCTATGTGTTAATCTAAGTTAGAAATTGCCTCAACGGCTACTATATGCCGATTATATACTATATGTATATGTGGCAAGCGCTAATTTCGAACAAAATTCGAACATGCGACATACAACCAGCTTAAATCGATATTAAAGTTCTTTCTTCTTTCTTATCGATTCGTCGACACGAGTAGTTCTTAATTTTCTAATAATTTAATCTAAGTAATAACTTGTAATAATTATTTCTTTAATTTAATAAAATAGAATAAAAGCTACCAAAGTACTATATTACAAGGAAATCATCGTCATGACGATAAATTTCACGTTAACCGAAAAATTTCTATCGTGTCGGTTGAAACATTTGGAAATATTAACGTTAGAGCAGTTATCAAAATAAATTAATGTTAAATCGTTAACAGATAATGTTAAACGTTAACATTGAAGCGTGCTGTTAAATCATATTAAGCAGCCATTTCGTTTTGATAAAGAAAACGAAACGAAGACGAACATTTCGTTGAGTAAATTTTTTTTGTTAGCGAAACGAAATGATTTCGATGGGTTTGTTGAGCATTTCTGATAAGTATGTACATATATTCCGGTGTAAATAGAAAAAACGTGCAAATGTTTTTCATATGTTTATCGGAAACCAAATATTATTTTCAATTTATTTGATAAATATTTTTTTGAATATATTATTGTATATATGTTTTGACCAAAGCAAATTGTATTCGAAACTAAAAAGTATGTCCGAATATAATTTTTCATATATACTCCATGAACTCAGTGTAGGTACACCGTGGAGTAATTTTTTGGATTAGTTTGAAAATTACTTTCATACATGAAGGAGCTTATTTTTTATTTAGGTTTATAGCCTATTTCCACCTGACGTTAAATGCATTTTAGCTTAAATGTATTTAAACATCGCATTTAAATGCGGTAATTCCCATGTGTTTGTTGTTGTATAAAAGTGTGTTAACTCCTTTTTCAAAGTGAGTTAACTCACTTTCGGCAATTTAACAGAAAATGTTATGTTAACATTCGATGCTGTCACTAATGATGTAATCATTTCGGTGTACTTCTTGCCAGAGTCGTGTATTTTCGGATTTAATGAGGGGCGAAATTTTTTGTATAAAAATTCCTTTTTTGCATTAGTTTTAACATAAATACCTATATTAAGTAATTGGCGAAGAGAATGCTTCTCCGCCTTCAAAAAAAACTATAAGAAACAAACAAAAAACAATTGTGAAATATCAAACGATCCCCTCAACATAAAAATATACGTGGCTCTGGTAGCTATCAGCTGATTGCGCAAAACAAATAATTTGAGGGAACAAACAAACAAATATGAAAATGGAAACATGCATAAAAGCATTTTCGTTTCAGCAACTTTTGTCCGTGCAGAAATAATCTGCACTTGCAAGTCTTAAGATTGCAGAAATAGCCAAATAAAATGAATGCGGTCTCTTGAATTCATGATTTCTATAGTTGTGGCAAATTTTGTAAAGTGCAAATGTAAACAAAAATCAGCTGTTTGAGTTAACTCACTTTCGGTGGAAACGTTTGACATTTCATTTACTTAACAGAGGGCTTAAATGCATTTAAGTGCTTGGTGGAAATAGGCTATTAGGATAGTTTTGGATTTCTCCATTGTACGCATGAACTATATATTATATTTCACGCGTGTGAAGAATTGTCGGGGTGTTTGTAGGTTACTTCACTGGCCAAACAAATATTTTGTGTTTGCTGGCTAGATTTCTTTTCTCATGTGAGACTAAACTATTCTTCAAGTTTTGCTTTAGTATATTTGAAATGATATGCATTCTGAGTTGTTGGTAATTGAGCGCTCAACACATTTTTTGCAATATTATTTCATTACCGTTTTTCGAATTTATCAAATATGTTGCTCCCTAAATTACTTACCGGAAGAAAAAGTAATGCTTATGATAATCCAAGCAATTTGCATCCATGTTAAATTATATGTTGGTCCTTGATCCACAACCCACATTTTATTCGTGTTTTTGTTTGGCCGGTGACCAATCCGAATAAGTGCGAATCATATAAATCGGTTCAGGTGTTCTTTAATTATAAGATTAGTAACTAACATTACTTTCTTTTATACACTCGTATATAAATATCCATAGATGATTATATTTATTCTAATAATCTCTTCTAATTATCCAAAATTTCTTTTGAACAGGGTGCTTTATTTGAATCACCACACGAGGACGAAAACGATGTCCAGACAATATCACATCGCTGTGAAGTATTACCGTTTGAGCGTTATTTCGCCAAATTTGGCTCTGATTCAAAGCAATATCAATCTATCTACGATAACAACGATACTTACTACTTGGCGGGCTATTATAATCCGCGTATTCAGTTGCTCAATCTACAGGACGAGATACCAACGCTTAAAGCAGAGGAGCGTCAGCAACACCAACAGCTTGAACTACAGGAACAGCAACAACTAAACGAAATAAATATAAATAATATAAACGCGGTTGTTGATTAGTTTAAAATGTGTAGGTATATAATTGAGGCCAATGGAAGCAGATTTAAATACTAAAAAAATATTTTTAAGTTAAATGTTAATATACAAGTGAAAATGTATGTCAATGTATATATAAAAAATGTATGCAAATGCATTGTATATATATATATAAATGGATATATATGTATACATAACAATACATATTAATCTAAATCACAATAACAAAACTATGCTAAACCTAGTATATAATTGAAATATATGTATTGTATATATATATAAGTATACATGTTTGTCTCGTATGCGGGCATATCCATAGATATACGATAGGCAAGAGCGACAAATGTCATTAAACTAGGCCGGCTAAGTTGTGCTGTAATGCTTATACTATAAATATATAAGTGCGTATATATAACTGTGAAACGATTGCGATTTAATTTTAGAGGAGAGAGTTAAAAGGAGCTAATTAATAAACAAAATGATACAAAATTGAGAATCACTATATATTGTATTAAATATATTAAACTACATTATATATATACCTATGCGGAGGAGGTGAAGCGCAAAAAGAGCATAGCAAGCTAAATGTCGATGAGTAACATTTATGAGATAAAGAGATAATTTTATTTTTAATTTTACTTAATAAGAAATTCATATTAAATATATACATATATATATATATTATACAAATAAACGTACACAAATAATGATTCGTAAGAAGAGTCGAACACAATTTGAACATGTATATGTGGGCAAGAATACAATAATATTGAAAAAGGAGCAGAAGCAAATCTTAAAAAAATCATAATGAAAAACTAACAAATTGTTGCTACACAAACATACATACAAAGGATGGATATTTTTTCGGACACTAATATAAAGGTTATACAACAGATATTATTATATATACTATATTTCAGAAGAAATTTAAATCTAAAATGTCAAAAAAATTAAAAAAAAAACTTAAAGAAACACTACAGCAGCTACGTAAGTTAAAAAAAAAGAAACAAAAACAAAGAAGCACCTGTGGTTAGCTAGAAGCGATGCCGGACAGTTTGAAAAGTCAAAGAAATTAAACAGGAACCTACTAAAAAATATACTATAATTGTAACAATTTATTGTGATAGTCGATGGATGATAACTGACGATGAAGACGATAATGATTTTGATGATAAATAATTGCTATAATGATTTTTGATGATTATGACTATGGAAAAGAGTGCGTTGTATATTTACATCTCGTTTATTCAAATTTAAAGATAAAAGTAATTATAGAAATATATAAAAACGAAAGATTGCAGCAGAGAAACACACAAATGAAGAATCTTAATTAAAATCAAGAAAAATACAAAAACATTTAAAATAAAATAAAAATCCAAATGAACGTATAAACAAAGCAATAAGCAAAAGCATTTTTATTACTTAATACAAACACTGTTACTAATAAGAAATTCCAAATAGGGTTTACACACATTTCACTTTCGCTATTTTGGAATGGTTGCCATGGACCATTTCAAGGCGGATCATGCGCCATTGGCGCATCGATCCAACAAGTTATTTAGTCTTAGACGTTGAGTAATTACTTGAAGTGTTTTCAAAATTGTCTCTTTAATCGTAATTGTATAAAAAAAGGAAAACAACTACTAAATTTTTAATTAACGGTTTCGTATAAAAGTTTCGCATTTACTGCGAAAACATTGCTACTTGTCCTAGTCAATCCATGAGTTCAACGCCGAAGTGGTATTGTCGCAACAAATCTACGCCACCTATACAAACTTTTTCGGAGATTACGAAATTAGGGAAAGAATTGAGACGTGTCACATATCGAATCGCTGTGGATGTTAGAGTTGATGTATTCGATGAGCACGTAAGTATGATCTGATACGGAATCGAACTGACTTACGATGGAGAAAGTTGTTAAATTATAACCCTAACACAAACTTGAGTTGATTGATTTCCAGTGACAATTCTTTTGCGTTTACAACAATTTTAACATTAACAAAATGAGAAAAAAATGAACTCAATTGGCTCTAAAGAACCTTGACCAAGATAACAAAGATTTCAATGAACCCTTAAAATTTTAAATTTATTAAAATTGACAATTTGCCTGGCCTTAGACGTCTTATACGTAATGCTTCGACTAAAGGAAAAGATGGCGTCAGGTGAATAAAAAGGGAATACTTGGGTATACTAATTGCATAATGACGAAAATATGAAATATCAAACGAAGTCGCGTACTTCTTTTCACACGTTCGTCAGAAAGGAAGTGATGGTGCTTCCCCGGCTATTTTCTAGAATATTAACATTGTTCAACTGATATCAAATGTCTTTGTGGGTCGTTCCGGTATGAATGCCCGACTGTCGTAGGAACTGTTACATATTCTTAGCGCGAGTTAATCTTTGAACCCCTAACACACATGGTCAAAATATTCACCCATAGTACCCCTTATACCCTGGTAAGAACAGAATCCAAAAAAAAACACCGTTCGGAGGCGGCTTAGTCCCTCCATTTTTTGGAAAAAAATTCAGACGCAAAACCACAGATTGGAGGAGGAGTTCGGCCGTAAATCGCTTCAGCGGTTACAAAGCGCCAACTATATATATATATATATATATAATACTCTTTGCCCATTAAATGCGTTTCAGAACACACTTTTGGAACAAGTGGAACACGTTTGTGAACTCTACTGGAACCTGAAAGATGAGACACAGAACAAGGACATACACTCATTGAATAAGAAAATCAAGAGAAGCCCCTATAATGCCTTATTACTACAGAAATATAAAATACTCATCGAGATCAATGAGCGACGTTTTTGTCAGTTAATGTTCGTGCTAAAGCAGACTGTAAGAATGTAAACCATGCTTGTACAAGTAACAGAACTTTAATTGACACCTCCTGTGTACATAATTAGGTTACGCAATTACTCCGAAAATCATCTCAATCTGATATATGGCTAAGTTGGGCGTTACAAATATCAACTTTGTACAATAAGTGGAGCCGTCGCGAAAAGCCTAATAATGTTGATAACAGCAATGAGGAAGCAACTCACAGAGCTGACACAAGTGGTGCAACAGAGCAGCACCTCGATGTATCCAAAAATGGTGCAGATACGAGAGAATCGAGCGACGAGTGGAATTCAAATGTTTGTAGTAATATGTATCCGACATTGTTGCTACCACAGAAAGCCATTGATTTTGCCTATGTTCTACAGGTAAACTGCATTACTAGAAAACTATTTTGACTGTCATTAAAAACTTTTATGTATCCAATAGCACGCTTCGCAAACACGCACAGAGCAAAATTCACTCGATTTGCTCTTTGGACTATTCAATATTAGCGAACAGGAGCAAGCTGAAGCAGCAGCTGCAGCAGCTGGGACTTCATCTGGAGCTCCTGTAATTGCAGCCGCCAGCACAAATGAACTGCATGCCGCTCCAACGGTGGCTGATAATTGTGAATCCACAGCATCCAGCTTGGAAATTCTACGTATACTTACACTTAGTATGCACGGTGATAATGAATTTGAGGACTACAATAATTATTTGGAATTGGATGGTGGACAGTTCAGAGTAAAAAGCAGTTTGCGTAAATATGCTGAACATTTTTTGCAACGCGAACGTGCATACTTGAGTCAACTCATAGCCAAGTCATTTGACTATTGTCCGAGCATTTTTGGTAAGCTCATAATTTATGTTCTATCTTTGGTGAAATGAAACAAGTATTTTACTCTGTCTACATGAGTACGACCAGCTGAGTGGTAGCATTCATCGACAAGTGCTTAAGATCAGAGACTTCATTCTTTCAGTTTAGCCTATTTTCATGCAAATTCCTACATTCGGCAATAGACGAATGGAACTGAAACTGTTCCAGACTAAGGCAAAATCTTGATATAGAAAGCACTTTACGTTTCCTGACTTCTCTTTTTAATCTGATGAATTGGAAACGATTTTTGCAAAGTAATTGAGGCCTTTCTGCTTCCTCTGGCAGGCAAAATACGGTTTTTTACATCCAGATGGCCTGATGGTCATCGTATGTCTCACACAGATCAACGAAAAATTTACCTATAACTAAGTAAAGTTGTGACTGCCGACATTGCTGTGGTAGGCCAAGCGCTAGTGCTCTGACTGGAGGCATTTCGTTTTATTCCCGCCCACCAGTTTCATTCATTTCGTTTCCCTGCCCAGTCTGGAGCAGTTCTACTTTCTCTACGGAACGGCCGTAGCGACCGCTGATGTCAAAACCATCGGCATGTACTGGCTTCATCAATTCTCACTTGATAGAGACTTACCTAGACTAAAACCCCGCTACTGCATTGATCAGCGTAAATTTACACAACTGTTTAAGTCTTAGCATATTCTATGTATTTGCAACAATGAGGTCTTCTTGCCTCATTTTGTTATAGGAAAAGCTTGCGCACGAGATGAATTGAGTGACTTCGTTATGCGCGGCATGCGTCAAATTTGGTCAAACGTTGGACTCATATTGGATCACATCATACTCTGGTGGATTGATACACCACTTGCTTGCTACCCATTAACGCATGTGGAAACTATGCGACATTGGTTAAAGAACCATACCGCGAACGGTTCGTATAGTTGGCTTTGACACTAATGTTAGGTCCATATTGGAAATCTGTAATTTACACATTTTAGACATACCGGAGCCAGTTTATTCAACTCTACGTGGAGTCGCGGAAAGTCTCACCAACTTCGTTGCCACCAATACCTGGGACCAATTGTTTCGCTATACTTTATTGTCAACAAACTGCTTACCAGCTACCATGGAGCGTGCCTTACAGTTATATCGACCAGTAGGTCAAGAGGAGGTATTAACTGAAATAAGTTGGACACATATAATATATACATATGTTTGTAAAAATATATGTCCTTAATCCCGATTTCATAATGTTATATTCGTAGCATCTGGGCACCTACACAGGTAGCTTTTGGGTGTTGGTTTTCAAAAGTTTGATCGAGTTGAGTAACAGTTATTTTCCAAGTAGCGAAGCACAAATGCAAATCAGTAGCCTTCCTGTAGCCGAACAAATACCTATCTTACATCGCATTGGTGAGTAGCACACATATCTGAGACATATGAAGCTCTTTGTTAACTATGTATGTAGGTATTAGAGTAACATTTCATTTAAAACTCTTAAGATCACTCTGTTCATTCTATGCGTTTGTGGGTTAAGGAACAAGCCAAGCAACTTTGCTGTGAATGGCAAATGGATCGTTTCTTTCGCATTATGGAGCATGATGTGCGCGTGTGCTTGGCCGGCTTTAATGGGCATAGATTACCAAAATTAACGGCTGATCTCTCAGATATTCTTATGCTGGTGAATGTGGCATTGCGTACTAAATTAATACTTGAAGTTAACATAAACATCGATAAACTGAAGGTAAATATTCCGGGCTCACTTTATTTTATTTATTATTATTAACAATATTTGGCAGAAAACTAACGAAGAATGTGTGCAAATTATGTCCGAAGTTTGTCGTATACTCAGTCTTGCCAGTTTTAAGCTCTCCTTTCCGGCTGCCAGTCACTGGCAGCAACGTGTTTTTGATGAAGATGTGAAAAGCGATTATGTCGATTATGTGCTCGATCAAATATTTCTGCCTGCCATTAAGGCTACCAAGGATTTGATCATTCTTAAGTTGATTTTAAAGATCATATGCGAAGCTTGGTTGGATTACATTTATATGAAACGGATCAAGTTTAGTGTGAACGGGGCTGTGCAATTGCTAAATGATTTCGATTGTGTACGAGAATGGATATTGGCGTGTTCGTTGCTGGATACCGAGCAATCGGAGAAGTTGAGTAACCATGAGGTATTGCGTATGTGCAAGGGAGTGGGTAAAATCCTGCTTCGTAAGCCAGAAGATGTTATATCAATAGTTCAGTCTCCGAAGTTTGAATATGATCGGAGAGCGGTGGGAGGTGAGTATTTTCTTCCTATTAGTTTCGAAGTTGGATTTAGCTGGTTTTTTAAGCAAAAACTTTTGGATAAACAGATTTTGTCGTGTTCACGAATTCATTCTGTGGTTTTACTCTAGGAAAATGTTTTTTTTTAGACATGTCGTTTTCAAGAAGAAAAACAAACGCATTTAACTTAATGTTTTAGCGAAGAACTTCGTTTTAATATAATGAAAATCGCACCCTCATGGAGGCCACTTCACGACGAGAGATATTGCTCTTACCGAAACTAAATTGATTAAATTCGATTGTTTCTTCCAATACAGGCACGAAGATGTCATTAATTATGGCTCTATAACGTTCTCCATTGGCTGTAATGTTATGGCCGCCTTCATTGTGATGAAATATGGACCACAGACTCCCTCTGCCCTTACAGCATACCTTAACGGCGGCTTAACAATGGCTTCTGAATTATCATCACACCAAATACGACTATCTTGTTTATTAGCGTACCCATTCAACCAAAAGTGAGCTATATCGCTGAACAAAATTTTGTTGGGAAAACACTGATCGGTGGCCCATTCACCGAACCCGTAAACAAATTCTTTCCGCAAAATCTCCATAAAATGGATAGACAATTTGCTCGCGATGGCAAATGGACTCATTCAGGTATTTTACTCTGCTCCACAGCAGCAATAGCGTCTTTGATGGGCACTATACGGCGTCTCTGAGGATGCGCATTATGCACCAGAGTAAGCGTGACCCGAAACTGATCCCGTTGCTAGAGTTACCAACTCTGCTGGGCGATTTTGTCGGCCGAAGTGGAACGCAGCGTGCGATGCGTCCCTCCAACTGCACATTAATTGGGCAATAAGTTTGCAAACTGCTTATAAATTAAATAACAGCTAACAAAAGAACAACTCGTTGAAAACCGCAAGTCTAAAAAGTTATGAAAAACACAAACGAGCTCTATTTAGAATATTTTGATTCAGACAAAAGTATAAATATTGTATATCCAAAACCATGATATATCGAGAAAAACGATATTGTCATGGCAGCCCCTGCGGGTTAGGGGCTCATTTACCCGCGGTAAGGCATGCCTGTCGTAAGAGGCGACTAAAATCCAATAGTTCCCGCGACGGTCGGGTCTTTATACCGGAACGACCCGTATTTTTATACGGCCAATGACTGTCACTCCCGCAACATTCCCCAAAAAGTACTTTGGGGAATAATTTTGCGGTTACAACAACAACAACATATTGTCATGGCTGTTACTTCATCTCACTTTCCGCGTGTCCGTGTACATGACAACCCAAAAAGATGTTGCGGTACACTCATTCCTTGTGACTTCAGTACGGATGATATTGTAAATGGTAAAATTGGACGGAGATCAATTCCATCATTCATAAAACGAACGGCTCCAGCTGAACTTAGTCTCTATACACTATATTTATTATATGTACGAATATTTCACACTCTATTCTCGTTTATTCTTCTTTTTTCTCTTGAACTTTAGTTGATGCTGCTGCACAAGAAACTCAATTGCCTTCGGAAATGTTTGTGTCAAACCAAAAAAATTGGCTACAATTGCGGGCCAACAAAGGAAATGTATTCAGTTGGTGCTGCAGTGATTCATCGGTGTAAAATAGAAAGCTTCTTCTTTCTAAATTAAATAAAATGTTTTAATAAAATTAAATTAAATAAAAATAAATAAATCAAATAAAATAATAAAAACTAAATATATCTAAATAGAGTAAAGTAAAATGGCAGAAAATGAGTGAACCGCACTGAGCCAAATCGCAAAAAGTTTAGGACTGCCAACAAAAAACGCTACACAAGTGTAAACACACACATATGAACATATGTACATGTGTACAATACATACTTATACATAGCAGATTTCAATTAAAAATTCTTGATAATATCATTTATTACAAAAAATCGCTTGTATTACTTTAGAAAAATCGCTTATTAAAATTAAATAAATTTTTTGAACGCATAATAAATTAATAAAAAATGTTTTAAAATATATTTGTTTTGAGCAGCATTTGCCGCTGCTTTGATCAAAAGTAGTGTCACTTAAAAGTTATGTATACATCTTTTCTTTTTAATTGTGAGGCTTTAAGCCGGCACCTTGCGACTAATCTTATTTACCAATTCATCGACACGTTCGCTCATGCCAGCAAATTGTTTCGGATGTGGGCCAATCATCTGAATGATAGCAGCAACATCGGCAGAGACCTAAAAGGCGAATGTATTAAAAAGTTACAAAAAAAAAATACAAGAAAATTACCTCCAGAAAACGCGCCAAGGCTTTAAGTGAGCGAAAAACCTGCTCTTCACCCGGATTGCTTTGGAAGAATTGCAAAATAGCCATTGCCAACTCAACAGCAACATCATCGAATACCTGCATTGTTGTTTTATTTTGAAAGTGACTTAAAGTTATAAACTATGTATTTCATTTCCTATCAAATATTTCCTTACCACCGTCTTAACTTCCTTTATAGCAATATTGTAGAGCATCATTGAACCGCTATTCTTCAATTGTGGGCAATTGGAGAGTATACAATGCACCGCTACTTTGGTTGTAACACGTATATTCGATATTGTTTGGCCTAGATAGTCCCATTCGGAGATGTAAAGCAACCACTCCGAGGGACCCACATTCTCAAACAGATTACACATCTAAAACAGCAAGAAAAAGAAAATAAATGTGTTTGCAAAAAATGTCTCGGCAGCATCGGCTAATTTCTGCTTACAAACATCGCCCACGCCTGCTGTTCTTCTGGTGTATGTTTTTCAATATCTTGAGCAAAATTCATCAACGTATGATCACGTCGATCCTGATGCAATATGATGATGACATCGTCTTTCAATGCAGCATAGGCCAATGTACGTATTAGATGAACTCTTGTATCAGGTGAAAAAGTTTCTTCGCGCAAAACTCGTTGTACGAAAATGAGGAAATTATCACCTAATACCCAAGAACCTTCATCTTCGATAAGATACTGGTGCAATTCTTCCATAGCAGTCTCTTCATCTTTGTAGATTTTGCCATCAAGCAACTTGACGAGGCATTCCAATTCAGTCTTTATCTGTAACGGAGAAGTGAAAACACATATTATAATATGTAAAGAGAAATTAAAGTTCTATAAATAATCTCATTTTGTGGTTTCAGTCTTCTATATATCTAATATATGCATACATATAAAATCGTTTGTTTGTATGTTTGTTTTCTGTGATCTCGAAACTAACCGGTATATTACTGAAAATTTTCAGTTTATTTCTATGGTTCCTCGAAAGGTTTGTACGAAAAGCTGAAATGTATTTAAATTTATTTTCACTTCTTTTCTGTCTTGTTTTTAAGGGGAGGTGAGCCGATCTATTTGAAAAAATTATACACATTCATAGTTCAATTTGGAATAGAAATATATTGACTTCCATCAAAAGAGTAACGTATTATAACCACTTAGGCACTTTGTAACCGCCTCCAAGCGGCCTATGGGCCTACACGGGAAGCTACGCACTGCCAACTACTCGGATATTGCGGATTAAGAGGCAAGGGCTACGCTGATTTCTTTATTTCCGTTGGATGTATGAATCCTTCGTTAGATAAATTATGTTGAGGGGATGTTAGTTTAATTCTGCTATAGTCGCGTAAGCGTAAGCAAAGTCTAGGCCAATTAACAAAGACTTGAAAATCACAACAACAGACAAGAAAATATTTGTATTTAATTTTAAACTTAATTTGTTTTTATAATAAACAACAACGCCCACTCACTCGTACATATATTTGAAATGACTTGATGTATGCATTTAAGCTTCTCGTAAAAACAATTAAATTTTATATACATACATACTTCCAAACATACTTAGTACACATGTAAATAAACATGCAATTAAAATATAGTATACGCAATTAAAATTCATATGACACTCACGTTGATGTCTTTGTGTACCAAAGCCGGTTCTCGTGGGATTTCCTTCTCTTCAGTCGATTGGGAGCGTTCTGTGCCATTCGCCCGTTGTTGTTGGGCGGCTGTTTCACTGTTGTTGTCTGACATTTTCACCTAAAATTATAATTAAAAAATTTCATATATATAAATGCCGGAATTTCGGATAACTTTGTACCGCTTGTATTTACATACATATAATATTAATATGTAGGTATATGAATAAATATGTATAAATAAAAATGATACAATTTAATAAGTATAATAATAAATTTTTTGAACGAAAAAATTGAATAAAAATGAAAAATATTATACATTTTTTGGCGAATGCAATCAACAATCCATACCACGTAATTTTCAACAAGAGAAATGCACTTTCTTCTTTCAAATGTTAATAACCTTCAAATTTCGCGGTCCCTGTAGACATAGGGAACAGTGCTTGCTACGCTCCTTAGTTCCTGAGTTCAAATTCTGATAAAATCGACGCCTAAGGTATTTTTTGAATGCGGTCTCCTTCCTGCAGCCCTGGGTTACGAAGAATTCTTCAAACCTTTCATGAATTTATCAAATTTATGCAAAATGCAAAATTCTCTTTCGATGATTTGACCCAAAATCTCATATCTGTACAGATCGGTTGTACGTGGGCTATATCTTGTTCTTCTAATGCTTACGTAATTCAGACCAAATTTAATTTACATTAGATATAATATTTTCCATAAATCAAAGCAAGTACATCTTAGTAGAGCAAATCTTATTTTTAGGGACTGTACAGTAAATTGCGAATGAATTGAACTAAAGAAGGACTTTTAATCTAATCTATTGGATGAGTGCATAAGTTCGTGCCCGATTTCAAGTGCAAACTAAAATTGAAATTTTTTGAAGAAAGCGCTTTTATTAATCAATTATGTATTCGCCATCATGTTCGGCAATCCACTCCCAACGTTCAACCAATTTACGGATGCCTGATTCATAGAAATCGCGCGGTTTCTCGTTGAAAAAGGTGTCAAGGTGGTTTTTGACGTCTTCCACATTTTTAAATTTTTTTCCATTCAAATTGTTCTGCAGCGATCGAAACAAATGATAATCAGAAGGTGCAATGTCGGGTGAATATGGGGGATGCGGCATGATTTCCCAATTCATCTCCTTCAGTTTGGCCAGGGTCGGTTTTGCAACATGTGGCCTGGCGTTGTCATGATGGCAAAGAACTCCTTTACGATTGGCTAAAATCGGACGTTCTTCATCAATCGCTTTCTTCAATTCGACCAATTGCTGACAATACTTGTTGGCAGTGATCGTTTCTCCAGCTGGCAAGAGCTCACGCCTCGGGTATCCCACCAAATGCGCAGCAGTACCTTCATCGGATGCAATCCACCTTTCGACATCGGTTCCGCCCCTTCGTGTGCCTGTTTCCATATTCTTTTGCGTTGAACATTGTTGTACAGGATCCATTTTTCATCACCAGTCACGAGCCGAGCCAAACGTTTTTGATCCGTCGAAGCAAAGAAATTGCCGTTGACATACGGTCCACTATGTTTTTTTCACTCAACTGATGTGGCACCCATGTATCGAGCTTCTAAGTGTACCCAACCTTTTTTAAACGACGAAACGCAGTTGATTTGTTGACGTTCAATTCACTGGCAACCTCTTCCCTCGAAATACGTGAGTTATTCGCAACTAATTTCCCGAACCATTTCTTTACTGTGCTGGAGCACGATCCAAATAAACTTCGCGAATATCTTTAGTTGCAGCGCCTACTGTTTTTCCTTTGCGGAATTCGTATAACATAGTATGACGCATATGATCTTTTTCGTTGTCCATCTTCCATGCGTCTTTTCACTAAGCAACTCAAATAAAAATGAAGTAATTTTATGCTTGATTTACAGTTCGGACTGTCACCATTCCAACGATTTATAATATGTATATATTTCTTTCACGAGCGCCACTCTCAAACGATTCGAACGGCATCCAGCGGAATCGGGTACGAACTTATGCACTCATCCAATAGTTGTGGTAAGATTTTGTTGATGACAGTTTCGCGGCATTTTTGAAGCTCGAAAGCGTAGGTATTTCAACGGATATATTGATGCACTCCTAATTTTTAGCAACTTTTCATATGCACACACCTTAGGTATGCTTAGTAACAGACATTTCCAAAAATGTTTAGACAGACAGAGAACGTCACATATTTTGGCAGCTTGACATAATTATAAATACATACATAAGTACATGAAGAACGTAGTGACTTAAAAAGTAGGTCAAATCATTCTACTTTGCAATAAGTTGAAAGAGGTTACCCTTGAAATGAAATATGAAAAATGTTTTCAAAATTTGTTTATTTAATTTTATTTGTGACAAAGCGCCAACACATATATATATTTTACTTTATATATTATATTTTACTTTACTTCTTGTAGAACATCCAGCTTTTATTCTTTCTGGAAAAACGCATGACACTGTAAATTCGTATTGAGTCTGCCCATTTCAATAGAAAACAACAAAACCGTTCGTAAAGAAAAAAATAATTCATGTGGTTTCAAGACGAAACAAAAGGCATATAATTTAATGTTATGACCAGGAATTCAGCTCTGTTATGAATATAAGAGTTTGTCATTGTGTTTTTAAAATGATTTCAGGAATAATTTCCAGCCGAGAGACCCAATTCAGCACCGCTTTTTGCAGCGATTGGGACAGTATGTCAGCAATAATACGCCGAATATTCTCTTCCAAAGTGCCAGTCGTCTCGTTCTTATCGCCGTAGCAAGCAACTTCATATAATCCCACAAAAAAGGGTCCATCTGTGTTTGATCGCTTCTGGATTATCATCCCTCTAAATGGGACAATTTCGTTTATTAGCGTACACATTCAACCAGAAGTGAGCTACATCGCTGAACAAAAATTTTTGTGTAATTCCGGATCGGTAGACATCTCGTTTTTGGCCATTCATAGAGCGTACGAAGTACGATGGTCGTCCGGTTTCAGTTCTTACAATCAAGCGGATGGGCACAGCTCCTATTATTGCACGCTATGGCGGATGGACTCCTTCGGGTCTTCTACAATACCCTGCTCTGCAGCAGCCATAGTCTCTTCGGAGACTCTGAGAACGCGCATTAGCCACTAGGACCCGATTTAGTTGACGCAACGTGTGATGCGTCGCGCGAACCTGACCATTTTTTTGGTAATAAGTTCGCACGATTTGCTAACGTTGTTCCGGAGTAAGTCAGTTTATTATGAAATTGTAGCCCAAACTGTATATAAATCAAGTAACAGCTGGAAAAAGGAACAGCTTCGATAACAGTATTTTCTCACTGAAAACCACTCGTCAAAAAGAAAACACTGTTTATGAGATTTTATGGTCACGACTTATGACTTAAGAGCTCATCTTTGTTGTTTTGATAGACTTAAATAAAATTGGAATTGTTGATACTTATAAGAAAAACTAGTATTGCTGTGGAGTTATTACATAAATACTAATTATTAAATAAAGCACTTATTAATTACTTATGGTTCAGGAGTAAAAAATATGTTTAAGATTTATCAAACAATCGACGATTTCAATTGTTCAAATACACGTTCATTGCATATTAAATTTGCCTGCTGAACATTGTTTTTTGATTCATCAATTCTTTTAGAAATCGTAAGAATGGAAAATATTTACAGTAGTTGGGAAAAGATTTGAGATGAGCACCACCTCATAAGCGACCTCCAAGTGAATGTCGCTACCAGTACGTCCAATTTTCATGGAAGGAATATTGTTTTCAAAGTTCAGATATTAGAATACCTTGAATATGAATAATTTTCACAAATCTAAATTTTCTTGCAGGGTAGAGTACGGTCACATGAATGAAAAATATATTTTCGTAATACTGATGAAACGCAGTTGAATGTCGAAATAATTGCGTACTCTAATAAAGAAATGTGTTTTTTTTTAATTTGAGTTAAAATGCAATCTTGAAGCCATTAGCAACCGTGAAGCTGACGCTAAAAAGCACTGATTCACTGCTCTCTAAATAAATATTACAAGTGGAATGTATTTGGAAACCACCAGTCTAACCAATGAACTGCTTCTCTATTTTCTCAGCTGACATAAAGGAATATTTCACAATTCTTCCACACCTATGGAGAAAATTTAATAAATATAGATAACAAAAAAGGTAAAAAAAACGTGTATTTTTCTTAAAATAGTAACTATATTTATAGATGGAAATGTGGGGAAAATTGTCACCATCTGTGTTCTTGTTACTTTTGTTTGCCTTAATTCCTCTTCGTTGAAAAATCAAAACAGGAAAGCAAATGCAATATTTGAACGCAACTTCTTGGTTGCCTAGCGCAGCCATCTTTCCTCTTTTTCAATGTCTATTCTTAGAATCTCTTGATTTAAGAATTTTATAATTCATATGAAGATTTCTGAACTGTGTTGAAATGTATAGAAATAATTTTACTTATAAAAATTTTGGCTACATATATTAAATATTTCGGTTTATTTATGCACATTTTCGACTCAAGATTGAATTCATTATTACTCACTTCTTCACGAAACTATCTGTAATTTGATTTAATGCCTCGCACAACGTCTATAGAACCGGTAAAATTTCAATAAAACGCCGAGTTCTTATTTAATCTTAGGATTTTTAGTCACAATTCTCAGTTCTTTTTGTTTTTTGTCCAGTCTCTTAATCTTAACACGACCGCGCAAAACAACCGTTCACTTCGAAAATATATTTCACATTGCCTTGTAGATCGGCAGATCTTTTCGTTCTCTGATTTTCCGAAACATGCTTTCGGTACTTTAGCCCTCATTTTCGTAAGTATGTTCAAAAGAGTATACATAAATAGCTGAGGTAAAGTTGCTTTTTCGTAATTCAACGATGTTTGAGAAAAAATTTCGAAAATGTGAAACTTTCATTCGGCCGGCCGGTGTTGAGAGCATGCTTTCGCATTAGCAGTGTTCGTTGAGAAATGGCAGTAAGAACCTGCAGGTAAGGAAATTGAGAGAGTAAGATGTTTTACTCTCCGAGAGAAAGAAATTTACTGAGTTTTCAATGAACAGGATTCTGTAAAAACGAGCCAGTAATTTGTTTTAATTATATAGTTTATTATTTCTAATTTGATGTATTTTCCTAAGAGCTTTAATGAAAATGACAATTATTTGTCATTTTTAAGTTATTAATTTTATTGAAAATTCATTGTGTATGTTGTATCAACAATGATGAAATTCTACATGCTCGATAGCCGTCCAATGACCAATACGTTTTTCTAATTGTCTTCTAAAAGAACAAATATTTTTGTAAAACTTGTTTTGCAACAATTTGTCGCTTAGACTTTCAATAATTGAAATTCTTTTTCCTTGTAAGCCGTCCATATCATCTCAAAATTATTACACAGTTTAGTCGATTCTGTTCAAATAAAAACCAAGAAAGAGCCACTAATATATTATCTTCTTCATCGTCGTTGTGACCGTAGCAGCAACTTTGCTTCGAATTTTTTTTTTTTTGCGGCTCCTTTGGTCGCCACTACTTTCTGGTAAATTCTAAAAATCCAAATTCAGCCATTGTACTAGAAATAAAAATATATTCTAATACCATACCTTCCTTACTTCTAATTTCTCAACGGAAGCTGAGTGGTGTGCGGGCGATGAGTCCAACTAAACGTCAAAATTGCGCTTTATCGTTATCAATTTTTCCTCTGTTCTTGGCTCAACGATCACGATCCAGTAAATTTTGGTAAATAAACATATTCACGTCATGGGTATGAGTATTGGGTTAAAAATCCGTCTGGTGAACTTCTGAGAGCATGAAATTTGGTATTCTCCGCACACAAATTGAAATAAATATGTACTCTGAAGTCGAAAAGGAATTAGAAAATTCCAATAAATGTGATAAGGACATGAAAGGTAAAAAGAATTCCGCCTAGCCGTTAACAGCACCTTCTTTCTTGTTAATAATAAATATACAGACATTTAAGGTCAACGCTAGGATCCAAATCAATCACGTTCATTTGTCGCTGTTTTACTATCCAGAAAGAAAGTATTCTGTTTCTGTATGTAAAAAGTTTTAAATAAATTGAAAATAGTTTCTGTTCTCTGACCCACTTCGAAGAGAGTTAAGTATTCTATATGAACTATCAAACAACTGATGACAGTTGACAAAATTAAAATTTGAGCGTAGCAAACTCCGAAAGTAATCTGATTTATGAGCTTCAGTTTAATAAAATATGGTAATCAAAAAGAAAGCTATCATAGGATCGGTAGGATGCAAAATGTTCTGAGTTTAAAGAAGAAAAAACTAGAAAGAAAGATTCTACTAAATTCAATAAAATGAAATACATTTGCCGTTTTGTTTGTTATTATATCAATTCGTTAATCCACCTTTATTACACAAATAATGCTGATAATCTTCATCGAGTTCATCTAGCGGAAACAAGTAAATTGTCTATTTCGATAGATAAACCGTTGGAAGATTTTTGTAAGAAAAGTTGGTTCAATTCCTTCTTAGCGATCTTAACTTTCTACTTATTGAACTTAACTTTACCATCCCTTTAAGATCATCTGGACAATTTAAGTCACTTAATCTTGTGTTCATGCAGTATAAACTTTGGAATGCACGACCCTTTTTGAAGTTTTTGTGCAACGCCAGCATTGATTCCTCTGACTCGGTTTTCTGTATCAAAGCCTACTTACTAAGAGTTTTAAATAATTAATTTCTTCCGCTTTCTTCAAGTAATTTATAGCAGCTGATGACCAAATCTGGCTCGAGTTCAGGGCAGTGCGGATTGCCACTGGTTTTCGGTTCATCATTGCTCTATCACGCTCATCACTACTTCAGAATGCCTTTGGCAAATCTTTATATCGTTATGGAATAACTGGTATGTTCGCATATTTTACGTTCAACATTAGAGATTTTAAATATTTAATGTACTTATTTGATCATTTTATTAACCAAGTACACAGAGTCAGAGAACAGAGAATTTCTATGATTTTGTTTAATTGAAAAGGGTGTAGCTTGAAACCGTTTGGTGATCTGAACATTGAATTTTGTACATCGCGATGCCCCCTAGTCAGACATAGGACATATTTTGAAGTTGTTCGTCCCCTAGTATGTTGGGAAATATTTTTAAAGAGATGAGGCGCTTAACAATCAATGTTTAGAGATCACTAAAAAATCTTAGATTAAAATTAAAAAGAAATAACCATGTCAAATTAACAATGAATCGTGAAATGTGCAGCGAAGCATTAAAGGCGCTGTCCCTATGCGAACTGCCTATGTTGGCTATTCTTGACTTGTCTTGCTTTGGTGTGTGGGATGACCAAATAAGCGCTTTTAATGCGATAGACGCGGTTACGATATCTACAATAAAAAAAAAAACAGGCCAATAAAACTTATATCTATGAGAAATTTTGCAGTACTTAAAACTCTGTAACACTTAGAGTACTCGGAGGTATGTCCAAAATATTCCCCACCTCACTTGCGGCCCTTTGACCCTTCGGTCGAGGCATAATGCTTCACATTAATTACTTATTTATGTTTTCGATTTTATATTGAAATTATTCCTTTTCGATTTCTACTTTTCTGCGGTTTCATTCTTTTTAAAACAGCATTTATCAGTTTTCTTTTTGAAGCGCTGCTCGATCTATTTTTGGATATATATATTTTTTATATATATGTATATAAATAAGAATTTTACAAAACTTTACGGTATGTGGAACTTCAGTGAAATTTCCTTAAAGAGTTGCTTTAAGCAATAAGTTTAAGCGTATTTCTCGCAAAAGTGCTACCCACAATTTAAGTCATCCGTTTGAAATACCACAAAAAATGCAAAAATTAAATACAAATAATAGCAAAAAGCAAGTAACAATAACAATAACAACTGCAGGTAGTAGCTGAGAGCAATTATGTTGCGAGATCCTGCATAGTTAACCACAAAAACCGCTTTCGCAGCACAGCGGTCGGTCCTGTCGCCTCCAAGTGTTCGTATGCCTTAGATTTCATATGAACTGCTCGTTGGCGACTCAGGCACAATTATAAGCCATGTCAGCTACTCTGATGGTCAATTGTGTGTCAAGCATTGAACAGAGTAGTTATACCAATCCGTGCAGATTCCAATATAAGAAAAGTTTTCAAAATATCAAAAAAAAACTATGTTCATAGTTCTCGAAATTGTTTAAAATAAGTATAAAAAAATTGTGAAATATAATATAATATATGTATATCTGTAAATTTATGTCCACACAGAAACTGCATAACCGTTAAATAGATTATTACAAAGATATTCATGAAAATGTCAGCATGGAAAGTGTGGTCAATGATTTTGCTTTTGTGCATACATTGTACACTGCAAATGGAAACGGTCTCTGACGAATTGAATGTAAGATTATTAAATAATATGAATTGTGTAAAGATAGTTTTTCTCCTACTTTTGAGTTCATTATGGCTTCGTTTTTTGAAGACATGTCGAAATTGCGATCCCCGTAGTTACAATATGTGTATCAAATATAACATTTTTCTTAACCCCAGATTTGTAATGTGTGGAATTCAGGGAAAGCGGCCCAGCAAAACTCAAAAAAACTATGGCACATATTCATAGTCAGCTCTGACTTTCTTATAACGTAACTTACTCTGATCATACGGAATTTACGTCAGAGCCGACTCTAAAGTTAGAGTGAGAAATACTGTTACTAAATCTGTTGTTAACTCTGAGAAATTTACTTACAAATCATTTTACATTGAAGAAATCGGAATAGAATTGGTAATTTTAAAATATTTCTAGCATATTCATATTTCATTTAAAGGAAAAATACTTCTTTAGATTTTGGGCTAGATAAAAACAAAACAGATTAAAAAACAAACTAGTGATTTTAGTAAATTTATAAATAGTATAGAAGAACCGCTAAATATTAGATGTCTTCAAGTGGTATGAGCTCTGCATTTCACTTTCGAATGAGAGTAGAATGACAATGTCTCAATTCAATGATTATTCCATAATGCTTCGACTCATGTCCGTTAAGAATTGGCAACGGCCCTCTAAAGCAGTGATGAGGGTAATAAAGCAATTAAAGAACAACTATGGAACAAAAAATGAGCCTAAAGATAATGTCCTCGGTCTAACGTAATCAACATACAATTCAAGTAGAATCTTTCTTTGGCTTTCTTGTTAGTGCATGGATTTAAACTGGCTATGACTAGGGACCGATAATTTTAAACTGCTCTGAAACGGTTGATCGGCATAAAAATAAACTGGGAGTTTCAGTTTTAATTTTTATATAACTCCCAATTCTAGGTAATAAAGATTAAAAATTTGTGATTTATTTCATATACTCATTTGCAACTTAAATCTCCAATTTTACTTTTGAAGACCGTGAATATAACCACTATGTCACAGCCAAGGTATCGATCAGGGCGAGAATTAACTGGTCTGGGATTTGATACCGAGGTTCTCTGACTATAAATTAAACCACAGTTTTCAAGTAAATCATCACATACAATTTGAAGCCTTGACATTTCGTGAATTGTGCTTTCTGCTATTAGTCACAGAAAACACTTTGATAAGTCGTGCCCTTAGATATTAGAAACCAATATACCACGACAAAATACTAATTGGGGTATTCTTGATCTCTTGCAAAATTTGGTGGGAAATATTTGTATTGCGCGTACTTCTTGGGTTATAAATGCAATGCCGTAAAAACCAAAACAGTACGTGAAACGGGAATTCGGAATAGATAATATTTTTTGACGAGATCTGCATTTCACTGTCAAAATTTTTCAATATAAAATCACTTTTTATCGAATTAGTATTTCAAACTGGGTCAGTAATTAAGATAAAGGTTCAGTGATGTTTATTCTTTGGGCGCAATGCATGGCCTCGTATCCGTTTTATGAGCTTTCACGTAAGAGGCATTATAGCTTTAAATAAAATTAATTTTAATTTAATTTCAAAATTTTTAACAAACTTTCTTCTATTTGAACTATCTTACGTATGTGCTTATATTTCTTTGTTACAGCACAAATTAAATGGCATTATTAAATGGAGATATGAGAAGCGTCCATTTTGCAATGCTTTCACGGGTAAATATAAAGCTTAAATCAATTTTAAATCGTTTGTTGTTTTAATACCATTGTGAAAGTATGCCTTACAAGCGGTGCATATGTTTTTTAGACATGTGGTTTTTAATGAGATAATATTTTCTTCGAACCTGATTTTTTGGCCGCTGTTACTTGATTTATGAAATAATGGTTACGACAGATCGCGCTGCGTCCAACATTCGTTCGACATAACCGCTTAGCAGAATCGGTGATTTGAGCAACCACGCATCACGTCTACTCTAATGAATGCGACTGTGCGTACTAAAGACGCTGTTACTGCTGTGGAGAGAACCGAATGAGTCCGTTCTCCGTGGCGCGCAATAGTAGAAGCTGCGCCCATCCGCTTTATGGAAGATTTTGCAGAAGAATCCTGGCTTGAATGCATGAATTGAAACCGAACGGCCATCAAACACTTCCCACGTTCGGTGTTTGTCCCAAAACGAGATGGCTACGGATTCCGGATTAAACAAGAAAATATTGTTCAGCGATGTATGTAGCTCACTTTTGGTTGAATGCGTACGCTAATAAACGAAATTGTCGCATTTAGAGGGTTGATAATCCACAAGCCATTGTTGAGACGCCGTTAAATCCTAAAAAAAAATCAGTGTTTGGTGTGACAGATCTTCCAAATTGAAGAATCATGATCGATGACTAAATTGTGTGAAGTCGTCGAAAATTAGGCTTCTCGGCGGGAATGAATTCAAGCCAACAGCGGTGGTCACTTGGCCGAATTAATTTTTAAAAGAAAATGGTAAACCTTTATCTTTATAATAATGCTAAATTCTTGGACATAACATTAAATTATATGCGTTTTATTTCTTCTAAAAAATCACATGTCTAAAAACAACCATTTATATATATATATCCTTAAAAAAATTCATGGTTTTCATGTTTAATATTTTACGTTTAACTCTTAGGTTGCGGTAAAAAACGTTCATATCTACCACCCTACCCCCTATGGAAACGCGCTGAAATAGATGAACCGAAAATATACAACGATGTAGATTTGTCCGAGGGACTAAGTGATCTGATCGATATAAACGCTGAGCCTGCCGTAGAAAATGTACAAAAACAAATTATGTCACAAGCTAAGATCTTCGAAGCCATCAAGGAGGCCAGCAAAGAGATATTTCGGCAGAAGAGTATGAAGAAGTTGCGACAGCGTGAAGAAAATCAAGACGCCGTTGAGGGAGTTTGAACGACAAGCTAAATAGATAGAATATCGTATGAGTATATAACTCTGTAACCGTAAAAACACTGATTCTTTCAATTTATTAGACAAAGTTATTAAATACATACAATATAAAAATTTTCAAAGGGAACAATTAAGACGTTAAATAAATAAAATACTAAATATAAACAATTGCAAATGGCGTTACAACGCCTAAAATATACGAACATACATATGTACATCAAAATGCGCACAAAAATTTACTTAAATTTCCTGAGAAAGTTTCCATAATTTTGCAAAACATCGCCGCGCATTTTCTTAATTTGTCGATTTAGGCTTTTTCGAAATACGTATTTTGACGCCACCCTTCGGCTGAATACCGACTGAATGATTATCGATGATAATTTCACGTTTACTCATGATTTCCACATTGAAGTTCTGTAGTATCTTAACAAGACCCAGTTTCGAGTTTATTTTACCCATTCGAAGAGCAATACATTGACGTGGCCCGGCACCGAAGGGCATATAGGCGTGATCACTATAATTGGCATTAGCGGGCGAAAAGCGATCCGGATCGTAAGTCATGGGATTCGGAAAGTGCTCGGCATCGCGATGTATACCCAGCAATGGTATAACAATAGGTGTACCTTTTTCGATAACATGCTTTGTGCCGGGTAAGGTGTAATCTTGTGTGCATTCACGGCTTAAAAAGGGAAATGGATATTTTCGATTGGTTTCTGTAAAATCAAAAAATTATAATGAATTCAAATGTGTGCTTTAAAACGCTTGCTCCATCTAACCTTGCAAACATAGGTCCAAGAACGTCATTTCTTGTAAACAATCATAATTCAGCTGACCATTATGGCGTTTCAATACTTCACTTACTTCGTTCTGTGCTAGTGCAAGCAAATCTGGATACTGAGCTAATTCGAATATTGTGAAAGCAGCTGCCGAGCTTGTAGTCTCCTGACCGGCTATGTAGAAAATAAAGCCCTGCGCCGCTATGTGATCTAATGTAAATTCCTTCTCTTCGCCAACGGCTGTATAGAGAGAGAAAATATTTGGGTTAATGTAAAAGATAATACATTTTAAATGCATACATATTTATGTATGTATACATATTCATATGTACATAAATATTTTCCAATTTCATAATATTGTTATTAAAAGCCAAGGTTTTTTTTGCAATATTCGATACAGTTTAATATCTCTGTAAACAGATCGAGAATTGAAGAGGGAAGCAAGACGCATGGGCAACAAAATAAGAAAGAGGCGGAGATGCGTGAGTGAGAGGAGTTTGAGAAGCGGACCGGCTCCTCCTCCACGCGTATGCGTCTTGATATTTTCCAACAAATGGAGGGACCTAAGGTTTACTCTAACCCGCCGCCGAATGGCCGATGGATTTTTATGAGGAGATTTTGTTTCATGTGAGAAATTCACTGCCGAGAACACAATTAGAAAATTAATATACTATAATTTGTGCAGTTTATCGAACCAGGACTCGAAGCCTCAGTATGCAATGCTGACCACTCAGATACTGCGGCCGGCAGGGGTAATGCTCGAAAATTCTACGAAAAGAGAAGTGATCTAACGACTGATACCCAGAGTATACTGAATTTATGGAGAGAAAACCTCTCGAGCCTGCTGAATGGTAGAGATTTGGGTACATGAGGAGATGGCGAACTATATTTTCCAAACGATGACAACTTTAGATAAGTCCAAATAGCAATTGACAGCATGAAAAACAACAAAGCGCCCGCTTGGATCGGCGTTCAAGGTATTTAAAATGGCGGTAAAGAACTGACAAGGTGCATGTATCAGTTTCTCAGTTTCCTTGCAAACTACAAAAATGCAGACCCCACAGTCTGGACCAATTACCATGGGATAAGCCTTCTCAATATCCCATTGTGTGAAAAACTAAAGCCCACCGACATGATTGGAACTTATCTGTGTTGCTTTAGACTTGGTACATCCACCCTTGACCAGATATTCACATTGCATCAGACTTAGGAAAATACCGGTGAAAAGAGGATCCAAATACACCATATCTTCATCGGTTTTAAACTAAGCTCTGACTGCTCTGTCAGTACCACGAGGGAGTTTTCGAGAAAACGAATTTGTGTAAGGTTAATGGTTCTACGCGCGTTGGGAACGGCGAGTTAAAAGACCCCGGCTACGTTGGCTGTATCATGTGATCCGGATGGATAATAATATTCCAGTATTGGATGTTTTCAATATTGTATGCTCCGAAGGTAAGGAAGAGGAAAACCACCACTTTATTAGAAATATCAGGGGGAGAAAGACCTGGCTTTACTTGGTGTTTCCAACCGGCGTCAAACAGCGAAAAGATGAAATGAATGGCGCGCTGTCGTTAACTCGACTATAATCGCGTAAGCGGTGACTACGCATGTAAAGAAGAAGGAGAGAATAGCACTGTCAGTATTTAATTTTAAATTTTAGGAGTAAAAATTCAAACGACGGCTGCACTAGTCGAGTCGTTAGCATTGCGTACTGCCATTCGCAAGGCTCGGGTTCAAATCCTGGTGTCGTACTAACATACCAAATGTCATAGAAAATTGATTTAAATAAAAAATTAAGTTAAATTTTATAATTGCGGTCGCCCCTCAGCTAGGCCTGGCAGATTTCATAGCTTGTATAAATGATTAAAGAGAGAATTATGGACATTAGACATTTTAAGGGTTCTATATGTACTTTCTCTTTCATCATAGATCATCCAGACTTACTTGTGTTTACTTTTGCATTCCAATTGTCATCATCCTCATTGATTTTTCCAGTATTCCTCAATTGCATCATCAACTGCACCATATCCTTCCGAACAATGTTATGCTTCTCACGATACTCTATAGTTTCTTTTAATATTTCACGTAATCCAATGGCTGTATTATTTTTAAAACCCAAAAGAACCATAAACTTGATTAAACTGTAATCAAAAAAGGTAAAAGGTTACTTAATCTTAACGAATATAAAATGTTTGGTTACATAAAAGAAAACTGTAAAACTTATGCACTATATGCATATTCAAATTTTCGGAACTTAATTCAAAAGTTACAATTTAATTTATTCAGCGAGCTCAGCTCTATGACTTTTGGAGGAGCTCGGGAGTGAGCTCCGAGCTCGAGATGGTATGGGATGACCATTCCATTAGATATTAGTTATGTTCCGTTAGTAGATGGGTAGTAACAATTGTTACAGAGCCAAGTTCGGTGAGAGAGCGAGTTTTAACGTTTTGTTTACCAATAAAAAAGGAAAAATACTTCCAAGCTCATTTTCGTTTTTCAATCATCCATTAACAATCATAATTAGTGCCCAAATGCAATTTTGTTGAAAAAAATGTAAAGACATCAACTATTCAATCAAATAGTTAAGGTACGCGTTAAATCATCATCCGTTTAGCACCGAGCCCCGTTAGGCATGTTGAAGGCATATAATTAGAATATATAATTATTTTGAGTACAACGCAAATGGATTTTGGATTTAATAATTTGCTAGAAAGCAGTTGCGACCAAATGAGCCACTAAACAATGCGAAACAAGGTTTTTGCAACCCTCACAGTGATGATAATGCATTTTTAATTCTAAAGCTTCCGGAAGCGACGACGACGCACGAAATGAAATATTATTGGCGTTTAGAAGGAAAAGTAAAACTCTTTCTTGGTTTTTATTGGAACTCTATAATAACGTTGAGATAATGTGGCCGGCTTACACGGAAAAAGATTCTCAAACTTTTTTCGTCGTCATCCTTAGTGAAAATCTAAGCGACAAATTGTTGCAAAACAAGTTTCGTCCTTTACACGATTAATAGAAAATAAATATACTGGTATCTTTAACGTTGGACGGTTATAAGGCATGTTGAATTTCAACATTGTTGAAATACATTAAATTTTGAATACAATTAATAAATTAAATATAATATAACGTTACCAAATTTATTAAAATAAAATAAATGAACGAATACAAATGTAACCGACAATATAAACAGCTGACACAAGGCGAATTTATAGAAGGTGAAGTTGTCACATCATATGATTGCTTGTTCTTCTTTCCATTTCAACAAATTACTTGAGAAATAAATTTTGACTATTCGAATGTTCCTTTAAACAAACAAACTGCATTAAACGACTTTTCGAAACTATGATTACACAAACAAAATATATGTAATTTTTGTTTTTGTATTCTTGCTACTACCGTGTGTAAAATTGCATTGCAGCTGAGTACATTTTTCTCTTTGGTGTTTGAGTGTAAAACATTTTACTCACTCAATTTCATTGCTGGCTAATTCTTACTGACATTTCTCACCGCTCAAAGGTTGTTAAAAGTATGTATATATTATAAATATGTACGAGGTGTGTTCAAAACGTATCGCGAATTTAGAATTTTCGCGGGTTACGTTTAATCTAATTTCGATTTTTTTGTGGCGTTATATTGGTACTTATGACTGTCACTTATGCCGACAAGCTCGGCCATTTGAATGTTCACTTAATTGTTGACACCTGCTTTGCTTACACGTGTTTTGGATGGTCTTCGATTTTTACCTATTCGAAAAAATGGATCAAAGAACCTGTATCAAATTTTGTGTGAAAAACGAGGATATATTCCGAATGTTGACTGTGGCATACGGAGAAGGTACCTTGGACCTAAGCAACGTTTATCGGTGGTACAAAATGTTCTCAGAAGGCCGAGAAGAAAATGGTATTGGCCAATAGTGGCTCTTGCCATTAGATTTTTATCAATAATTTGGGCATGAGACGGGTCGCCGCGAAACTCGTACCAAAATTGCTCAATTGCGACCAAAAACAGCATCGAATGAACATTGCTAAAGAGATGTTGGATTCTGTCCGCGACGACCCAAATTTGATTCAAAGGGTCATAACTGGTGACGAATCGTGAGTTTATGGGTATGACATGGAAACCAAAGCTCAGTCATCTCAATGAAAGCTGCTGCACGAACCAAGACCGAAAAAAGCGCGCCAAGTTCGATTGAATGTGAAAGTTTTGCTGACAGTTTTCCTCGATTGCAGGGACGTGTTGCATCATAAGCTCTTGCCGTAAGAAAGAACGGTCAATAAGGAATATTACCTGCAAGTTATGCGCAATTCGCCCGAAGCAATCCGCCAGAAACGCCTGGATTTGTGGAAGAACAAAAATTGATTTTCGCACCACGATAACGCCCCTGCTCACACATCGTTGCTTGTGGACGACTTTTTGGCCAAAAACAACACACTAATGATGCCGCAGCCACCGTATTCCGCGGATCTGGCCCCCTGTGACATTTTCTTGTTCCCTAAACTAAAGAGCCCCATGAAAGGACGGCGTTACGCTACGATTGACGAGATAAAAACGGCATCGAAGTCAGCTCCTCCTTCGATAAAAAAAAAAACATTTTTTTGAAGTGCTTCGAAGATTGGAAAAACCGTTGGCACAAGTGTATAATATCTCATGGGGATTACTTTGAAGGGGACAAAATAGGTATTCATGAATAAATAAATAATTTTTGAAAAAACACAAAGTTCGCGATATTTTTTGAGCACACCTCGTATGTATACAAATATGTTTTCATAATTGTTAATATTTTAAAAAATCCAAATACTCACGCTGGACACAAGAAGATTAACATTCCAATATTGGCATTAATTATGTTATTGCGGCGTGCTTTATGTACCAAACATCTAAATTTATTTTTAGGATCTTCATAACTATTGATGTCCAAGCCAAATATAACAGAACCAATTATATCGATAGCATAACTTTTAAATAATAAAAAATAATATTATTATTATAATTTACATACATATGTTGTGAACTTTATATTAACTAATTTACACTCACGTCACAAATATGTCCTTTATGTCTACTTCCGCACCGCCCTCTTCCGGAAGTATTCTATTAAGATACTCCACCATTTTATTCCCAATATCATCAGAAGTAGGAAACATTGCCTTCAATTTGCCTGAACTGAATGAAGGTGTCAGTTTCTGACGCAACGAACGCCAACTTTGACCGCGTAGCGAGAATAAATTACATGATAATGGATCTCGCTTCTCATCCACATACACGCCGCGGTCGTGGAAGCTACTAAAATCTTGTATCAGTATTTGTCGCGCCAATTTGGGATCACGTATTAAGACGGCAGGCCGGAATAGCAGGTAAATCCCAATAAATGGCGATTTTTTCTTTAAGTATGCATCATATATTGCCACGCCCATAGATTTCTCATGCTTAACAACGGACTTCAAACAACCACAAGGAATAGTCGTATCCGGGTCGCTGGGAAAGTTGCGACGATTCCAATAAGTATATTGGTGCCTAATCAGCCAGTAGAGCGTTGTGCCGAGAACTAAGAAAAGAAGTAGCGCGATCATGCTCACCAAGTTACAGTTACTCGTATGTGTCGCGTTTTTTACTTTGAACTAAATAATACGTATTTATTTGTGTATTTATAATTTCCACATCAGCCTTTATGCCGTAGTTAAAATAATTGTAAGAAATGTACAACGTCCAAATCTATGATTTACCTTTAGCGAACTGACTGCTTTCGGCAATCTTACTATACTGCTGAGAGGCAAAGCAACGATCAAGCAACAAAACTACAATAGTATGTGTGCAAGCTTACATGCGTATATAGTATATTTATTTGTTTATAAACATATGTTTTGTTTGCATCTTATCAACGGAAGCCGCTACTTAACAAACTCAATATCAACATAATTGATTAAATTACTTTTGTATGATGAATTTTCATGAATTTAGTGATTTTGAAAAAAATTCACTATCAGCAAGCGTTTTCACATTATGCAAAATATTTTGCAAATTTGTTTATCTAAAGCCTTCTACACACGCTCCACCAAACACATACCATAAAGTCATATGTAAAGGGTGTTTTTTAATCGTTTGATCTTAAATGAGGCAGTTGCTTGATGTATACTCAGTTCGGTTTGCTGTTTCATAATGATTAACTCCGGAAAAATGTTCGTAAATCGTGCAATTTTACTACAAAAATAATGGTCCAATTGCTGCGTCCAATATGCGGTCGACTTAATCGCCCAGCAGAGTCGGTAAATGTAACATTCATGAATCGATTTCTTCTCACCACGTTTACTCTTGTGAAGAATACGCATCCTCAGAGACGTCGAATTGTGCGTACCGAAGACACAACTACTGCTGTGGAACAGAGTATCGAAGAAGGACCATGCCATTCTTCATTGCGCGCAACATTAGGAGCTGCCCCTTCCCATTTGTGAAAGATTTTGCGGAAGGATATTGGTTTGCGGGCTTCCGAATTCAAACTGGTGCAAGCCAAAACACCATCAATTGCGTCATTCGATTCATCCGGTGAACGGATCCAAAACAAGATAACCACCCATTCTGATTTTCACAAGAAAATGTTGTTCTGTGAAAAACCTCATTTTTGGTTGAATAGGTGTGTTCGTAAATAAGTTTGCATCATTTGGCGTGATTGTAATTCACAAGCCATTGCCGAGATCCCCTTACTTAAGGGGTCAATGTTTGATGTGCTCTATGGGCAGCAGCGCTACATGCCATTCAGCTAACGAAACAATCGATTTATTGAAAGAATATTTGTGGATCTGTGGCTTGAGCTCGAAGATCGCACGTTTAACACCGCTGGACTTTTTGTGAGGTTATGCGAAGTTGCTTATCTACGCAGATAATCCTAAAGCGTTGCTGACCTATAACCCTAATTGCAGCAAAAAGTTGTCGAAAATTGGACCGCTTGACTGGAATACACTATTCGAGCCAACAATTGCGGTTACTTGTCCGAAATCGTTCTTCTTGAAAGGCGCATGTTAAAAAATACTCCCTTTATGTACAGAAAAACTTATTGCCAGTGAAAATGATTAACAGCTGATTGTATAAAAGAGCAGTGTAGTGAACATCTGCAATAAATACACATTTCAGCTTAAGAATAATAATAACAAATTCAACATAAAAAATAGTCGACGAAAGAAAATAGTTTCTCTCTGGGTATGACGTCAGAAAGCTCTCGAATTTGGCAAGAAATTAAATGAGTTATCAACATTGAAGAAAGTTAAATAAAAATAAGTAATTTATCTTATCTAAAACATGGCTGTTTCTATAATGCATTGTTTTAATTACAACAACACTTATTCTTGTTGCCGGATTGGCTGTTATTAATCATACTGTACCTTTAAATGTGATGCAGTAGGTACATATGTACATGCGTATTGCATTTAACGCCTAAATATATGCTTTACATACATTTTTAAGTGAGATAATACCGATACCCGAAGCGCCGTACTTTCCGCCTCAATTCTCACAATCAAAACTGTACCATGTAAATGAAAAGTCTCCACCGTGTACGTACGACGGCGGGCCTGGACATCACGGGTAATGATCAGAGAAATTCAGATTTTTTCCGAGAAAACTTTTATTTCTTTACTCTGTTTTTCACTTTCTGCTTGTTTATTCAGATGTGTGTATGAACATATGTGTTTACATTGAATCCTCTAAATAAAATCTTGGATTCTCATGTATGCAAAAATTTATTTATAAAGTTTTATTCTCGACTAATACTCGAGTTCTCTGAGAGAATTCATCAGAAATTCGGTAACTATTGGGCTTCAACGAGCTATGATCAATCGCAAGGGGAGCAAGAAAAGGTGGAGACCGAAATAAGTTAATCATGACAGACCCAAAAATATGTGATCTGGCAAATAATTTCCAGGGTATAGTGATTCTGCGGAGGGAATACTCCTTCAATTTGCACCTGGAGATGGCGAAACGGAGTTCCGGATCACTGACGATGGAATATATGTTTGGTCGCCATACTACGATGTATTTCGCACACGATGTAACGATGGTGGCGACATTCAAAGAGTTCAGCTCTGAAAGTATTTGATGCAGTACCTCGTGAAAGTAGAAGAAGTTGGATTTGTATTTACTTGATGTCTCCAATTGGCAGAGATCGCGAAGAGATGAAATATTCGAAAAGTGTTTAAAAGTACGAAATAAGTGTTAATGTAAGTATCTAATAACCTCACAATCACCCTGTTCAGATTGTCAAATTCAAAATTGAATAGTCCATGCTCTGCTTATTATGTCAGAAAATAACTCAGCTGATCCACAACTGTGTTGGCAATGCTGTCAGTGCATAGGAAATCTCTCGTAATAAACTTATAAATGGTGTGCGTGTATTTCTCAAAAAAAATTTGTGACCATCCGGAAAGTGTATAAATATTTATTAAAACAAAAATTTTAATCGAAACAAAAACATGTGCTAAAGTCTGATAAAAGTATTAAAATATTCCAATTAAAAAGAAAGCTGACTCAGCACTCAGACAGAGTATCTTTAATACACGCATTCATCGAGATTTTTATCTTATTTCTTAGTAGGAGGAGCGCTAATCCAACGACATTTCCAAAAAAGGCAAGTGAGTGCTAACTAGTAATCTCATAAACAGATACTGCAAATTTAAGTGCATTGTCATATGTACATTTCATAGATGTATAGAAATGAATATTTTATAAAAATAAGATTTATTTAAATCACAAGGTTTTATTAAAGTGTTAGCATATATAAATACATATGTCATATGTAATTATAAAGTTAACTTTGATATTTAAAACATATAGTAAAGCAAAAAATATATGTACCTCGAAAGCCGGTTTATTGCACAACAAAAACTGTTGTTCTTTCTTTTACTTTCACGCTCAAATATTGGGGTGCTTTGTAGTTTTGCAATAAAGTCTCCATGCTTCCCCCATTATGTACACTTATTATTTAGTAGTGTATATGTATGTGTGTTTATTCTTGCATGGCTATACAGGCATACATACACGTATAAGCAAGCCTACATAGAGGTAGTGTGTATATAGTTATTCGCATCAACTACTTAAACCAGCAGTTGAATTGGGTCAACCCAATTTATTGATATTACCTTTATATGTTGTTGGATTTGTTTTTAAACTGTTTTTGTCTATGTCAAACTGGTACCTTTTCCGAAGTAACTTTTGGCGTTATTATTCAAATTGAGTTATATGTATATATTTTTTTTAATATTCATACATTTGATTGTGCAATAACCTCCGCTAGACACTACTAAGTATTTTTTTTTTTAAATATTGGAAACTAAAATTGACCGGAAACTTCGATATTACTTATCTTTCTCACATATGTAGGGGTCATATCAGCGCTTAACATAACATGACACTAACCATTCCTTTTTAAGTCCGTTTCACCCTATTTTTCTCTCTTATTTTTTCGCCGGGTCTGTGAAGGCTTCTAAAATACATTGCAGTGATTAAGGAGTTATAATTATTAAATAAAATTAAAGGTTTAAATTTATGACTAAATAGGTACATGTTATTCACTATAATAATATAAATTATATTGCACATAACGTTTTGAGGCCTCCGTTTCCGTGGTTTTACAACTTAATTATCTTATGGGGTTTCGAATTGAATGACCTGTCTATACTAAGTTCTTTTCTACTTAGTTATTTTGTGAATACATATGTGTGTGTATGTATAATCATATTTATTTTTTCAATGGATTACCAACACTTCCTTTCCTTTCCTTTCTTAGGGATTGCAATATCTCAAATAAAGGGTTTGGCTTTTCAGAATTGGATTCTGATTTCTGATGCTATTAAGTTTTTATTTACTTGTTTTACATACTACTACTATTATTGCACATATGTCTTGATTAGATTTATATTATTTAGTTATTGCCGTTTTTGTTGTAACTGTAACCCGAATTGGCTGAATACAAATCGTTCGGTATAAAGACCCGACTGTCGCGGGAGCTTTAGGATTTTAGTACCTCTTACGATAGGATGCCTTAACAGCAGTAAATTCTTGAGCCCCTGACCTAACCCGCAGGGGCGTTATATAAAAGTATGTATGTATGTACACTAGGGTAGGGCTATTATTATCTCATACAAGTCTTTCGCTTTTCATTCAACATATAAAAGTAAGTATGTAGTTACTCCAACAATTATACTAAACTTAAATAAATCTAATTTTATTTGCTTGCAGATCTATTAAACATACATATATATGTAAAATACCTCAATAAAACGTTTATTTGCATATTTCCCATATTAATAATTCTACTTGTGTCGAGAAGTGTCTTCAAAATTAGCAGTAGCAATAATGTCAATGAAGAACTACTATGAAATTTTACAATCAACTCCAACAGCGAGCTTCGAAGAGTTGCGCCGCAATTATAAACAATTAATTTTACAATGTCATCCAGATAAATTACAACATGATACCAACATAACCAAAGCCCCAAATACAAATGCCGATACTGCTATTAATGTTGCGGCTTCAACTATAAACCCAAATGCCCGAAATGTGGCATCTTTAGATGAGCTTAACGGAGAATTCGTTGCTATAAATGAAGCATGGAATACGCTTAAAGATGCCACAAAGCGAAAGCTCTACGATGCCGAATTACTATTGTCCAAATTTCAAACGCATAGTAATATTTTTGCGCATGTAACACTTGCAGACATGAAACGCTGTACCGATACAACCACAACCAGCGATGGAAGTAAAACTGGCAGTGGCAATGACAATGATAGCGGCGACGAGGGCAGAGTCAAGTCCGGTGTTGAGGATGACATATATTGGTATTATACATATGACTGTCGATGTGGCGGTCAGTATATTGTTGATGAGTCATTAGACAGTGAAATAATAAACCGCAATCACAAACATGTTGCCCACATTCATAGCGAAAAGCAAACCTCAGAAGAGCAAGAAATATACCAACAAAAGCAAATAAACTGCGATAAATACTTCGATAAGAATTCTCAAGCATCTGCAGATAGTAAAAATTGCAAAGGGAATGCGTTCGCATCGTCTTCTGGCAGCTTCGGAAGCATCGGAGGAGATGAGGGAGTTTCTAAAGACTCACAGTCCTCTGCCAAGGCGAATGACGATGACGACGGCGAAGTGCTTGTCGAATGTAGTGAATGCTCTTTGGTAATCGTATTGACCTAAACGTACAATTCTGAGCTGTCACGGGTTGGCTGATGAGACAATGCAAATAAATATGAAAATAAATACATGAATAAGTATAATAAGAAAAATAAATAAAATTATGAATAACAATGCGGCGATTATAGTGAGTGCGCAAACACCAATACCAGCAAAAAATCACAGCCAAATAAAAGATGCGAAAACCAGCAGAAAATATAGAACAGAACAAAAGTGTTTCAAAAGAACGAGCGAACATTCAACTACAAATACAAATTTAATGTATTTACGTGAATTTCGGCTTTCGCGATATGCGGTGATTCCTATGTGAGATATATTTACATAAACTGAAAAAATATATTGTATAATAATATTTTATCAAATGCGTACAAATAAATATAAGAAAATAAAAAAAGAGTTTAATTGTCTTTGATATGCCCAACCAAAGAAACGATACCATCGTGTTTTGTTAATATGAAAAATAACCTTTGATTCGTTTCAGAGTCACGAGTTCGAAACCTGACCAGTCCAAAAATTCGTAATAAATATTTTTTTTAAATGTTTTGATTGCTTCTTGTCGGGGAAATGTCTACCCATTCGAGTGAGAGACAACTTCAAAGCATTCATTAGAAAACCAGATATTTCTCAAAAAATTTTATTTTAACTCTTCTTCTTCAAAAAATAGATACATTCTAAAACACCCCAATAACTCATTGCATAAACACCAATCCATTAAATAAAGCAATGTATTGTTTTAATTATATACATAACATTATGTTTAACATTAAACTTTGCGCCCAATTAGTTCATTAATATGCTTGGCACAGCCAGTTGGTCATCGGATATGATTTCATATGTAAGATGATATGGTAAGTTAATGCGCCAGACCTTATACTGTAGGCATACTTATGCATTCTTATGTATAATGAGAACATGTAACACATTAGGGCGGTGCAAGGATTACTCTACTGATCCAATTTCAGCAGGAAAAGTATTTGAAACACCAACCTATTTGCGTTATCTAAAAATTATTTGCGCACAAAATTTTTCTCATCATATAAAACATGGTTCTGTGTTCAAATCAAAAAAAGTTATTTATTTTTTAATAAAATATTAAGAAGTGAATAAGATTCCTAAATTGACATTTTAATTGAAATTCTCTTAAATTCTCTCGTAACGTACGTATGCATGTATGTAAATTGTACTACTTTAATACTTTTATAACATGTTTCATTACTTTCTTCTGTTATAAAGACCTCTAACACGCAAGGCGACGAAGCACTTTCATTTAAATTTGAGTATGGTGTTATGTACGTACATACAAACGTACATATTTTTGTCTAGCATATACAAACGTGCATGTAAATAGTTGTTCGCTTTTCCCTAGTCAATGAAAATAATCACGACAGTGTTGATGCTATTACCTGTAATGCTATTACCCTTTAAAATGCGACTGCCGTGGTAACTTAAGCCACACTAAGAACTATTAAACTTATACATATATCATAAAGGTAGCAAGTACATACATATATATGTATAGTGTGAAGAAACAATGTCAAAAATAACAAATATTGTTGCTGTGACCTACGTACGTACATATGTACATACAGTGTGGTTCATTTGATAAGAAGCGGCATTTTGTTATGAAAAGAAATTCTGGTTGAAAAATAATTGTCACATAGTTAAAGGGTCAGACATACTCGTATGTACGTATGAACTTCGTCCGAAAATTTAAAAACATTGTCATATTATTCCAGTTATTTACATATGTATGTAAGTAAATCTGCTTGCTTCTGCATTTTATGTTCAATTTATTGGTTTACTTGTAAAATTCTTTTAGTAATTATTATCTTCGGCCAAATCGATCGATATACATTTACATACACATAAGTTTTTTTTACGCATATATACGCTTCCGTTAAAATAAAAGCTGGTGGACTTAGAAGGACTTCTTCTAGCTTCAGATCTTAAATATATTAATACGTTATTCAAACATCGATACCTTGAACTCGTATGAGATCACATAGCTTATGGCTCCATTACATATGCGGACTATGGCGAGCACATTTATATAATATATTGCCATATTTCTTAGACCTTGATATAATTGAAAACCGAACAAAATATATTCCTATACTTGTTTTTACCTTTTCTAAATGAATGCTTCTATCCTATCCTAGTGAATCAATAACTTGATCTCAAAACTGCAGAAACAGATAGTTCTGCGTCTATAAAATACCGTTAACTGAAATAATATGACAATATTTTTATATTCGTAAGAAGTGTAGGGTGACCCAAAACTAAGGCAATATTCTTGCGGTGCACTAGTGTTCATGTCTGTTTCATAGAAACATACATACTCGTATGTATATGCATAATAAGTATGATGGTAACCAAAACTAAGTGAGACCGGATACGATATTATGATGTTCATGAAGGAAAAGTGTTTCGATGAATTTACGTACATGTGTATATATGTACGTACATAGTACATATGTTTGCATGTAAGTAGGTATGCCGTTGTTTGGTAGCCCAGATTAACCAAGCAACAAACATCGCGATAATTGGAGCATAGATTGTTTTCTTTTCGTCTACTTCTAAAATGAATGTACCGAAACAGATTTTAATTGCTAATGCTTTGCTTAAGAGAGCAGAAATTCAAAATATAAACAGCACTTCTTCCAACTGCATCCCATTTCCCCTTCAAATACTCTAATATAAAATGACATTTTTAAAGGAATACTTATAAGTTTGTGTAGAATAGTAGTAGTAGTAAAATAATTTTATAGTGTGACATTAACAGGCCTATTCTCACTGTTACCAATAAAGTAAATTTTGTTGCTTTTCTTTAACACTCGAAATTGAATTTGTTATTCTGGCGAACTGGTTACAAGACCAAAATAATGGAGAAAAATTAAATTTTTTTAAAAGCTCCATTGTGTCAAAATTTTTGTTTGGCTTATTCCTTCGATTAATCAAATCACAAGATTATGCATTACTTTGAAGAAATCCGTTTGATTTTTTCATTCCAGATGATAAACTTTAGAAATACAATGGTCACCGCAAAACGCATTTTTTGGGAGGGGTCCTGGAGATCTGCTGTAACAGCTTCAAAAACTGTTATTTCTATAAAGAAAAAAATTGTCAACTACTCTTCAAAGATGCTAAATTATGTGTACAAATGCTCAAAATAATAAAGCTAAAAGTTTCCTCGTGAAAAATGTTTGAAACCCCTAATTTTTTAAGACTCCTAACTAGATGTAACCCTTTAAATTAATACTTTGTTTTGGTTTCGAGCAAATCAAACTTGATTCCAGGACCCTGATTCACTTACTTCACCAAAAAAGTGGTTTTCTTTGAATAGATCAGTGCCGGAAAAAGCAAGGTTAATCTAACTAGAAAACCACCTACAATGAATAAAGTTTTTCGAATAGTTCAGTCCCTGGTGTATTTCCTGAGGAGAAGTCTAGTCCTAATGCTTATCTAAGCAAAAAGCCATTTATGTTCAAAAATCGAACTATTCCAGAAAAAAAAATTGTTCGTACAGTTTACTTCCTTTCGGTGTTAACTAAAAGCAATAAAAAATAGAATAAAAAATACATTAAGTATATTTAGCAAATCTTAAGCTTTAATCATTTAATTATTTTTTTATCTTCAGTTTAATTCGTAATTCACCGCTCACAATCATCCAAGCATAATACATCACTTCTCCGTCACATAAACAAATAAGCGTCACCGTGGCTAAGGGAAATCGGAAATCGTACACCTCCAAAACCGCTGCCATCACAAGCAAAGCCCGTAAAATGGCATCGACCGGCGATATTTGGTTACAATGGTTTTCTTGCTGTTTCCATCAACCACAATCACCATCACGGCGACGCCATCAACGCCTGCACATCGATCGTTCCATGATCGGCAATCCAACGAATTTCGTACACACTGGACATATTGGTTCTGCCGACGTGGAACTCTCCACGAATCATTTAAATGCGTTACAAACACAAATGCAGAGCAAAGGTGGCTATGAAATGAACTCGATACGATTGCAGGTGAGTGCGTATTATGGAAAAGAATATATTCACATATGTATGTTTGGTTGAAATATCTCAAAATCTAAGGCACCAACGGACATAGCTAAATCAACTTAGCTCGTCATTCTGATCCGATCTTCTCACTCCTTGGATCACAACTGCATGAGTTCGAAAATCTCTATAACTCAGTCGCTAAAAGTGCAATAAAAGTCATATTTGTTTTGGACGATTACATTAAATGGAAAGATATGAATGATCGAGGAACTGAGACCATACGGAGAGTTGTAATAAGTATGGAGGGCACAGTAAGGCGTCCACATAGTCTAATATTAACACGAATTGAATATGTCTGTAATCAAGCAACAGCTATATAACGGTCTTTTTACTTTCCACCCCCATTTCGCTTAACGAAAGAGATGGCTTTCGGAAACTTGTATTTGTTTACCTCGACAAAAAATTTAGTTCAAAGAAATTTAAAACCCTATCATTGCCACCTTGAGTAAACGTTATTGCAATCTTAGCATTTTGGAAATCGAAACTTATGGTAGAAAACTTTTAAGAATATTCGCTTTCCCTACATACTTGTATGTATGTTGCATAACTTTAACTGATTTTCTCATTTGTGGTATTTCAGGCCTGCTGATGTTAACGGATGCTAACGAAGTTCCTTCTACACCACTACCAACACGGTATCATTTACCGAATTTTCGAATAATATTCAATTGGGTACATAGGTATATATACATGCATATGTATGTACATATGTACGCATTTACATTTATATACGTGTATTATATAATATTAGCCCATTCAGGGCATGGCAATCAATGGAATCTCGCGGATACAATTAGCAAACACATTTATGAAAAATTAAAAGTATGCGAACAATGATTTACGATATTAAATTCTGATATGTATATTTTTATGATTTGTGTATTGTATGTACTATAAGACTAAAAAAATATTTTTAATGAATTTAAAAATATTATAAACTACGCACTCTTAAATTCTTATTTGTTTTTGCATTTGCTTTTCTCTAAAATATTTTGAATTATAACTTCAGATATTTAACGTGATGCAACCACTAAACATAGTTCAGATTAAGATTGGCATAGAAATTCTTAGTTTAAGAGTTTTTCTAATGCAAAATTTTTTCGATGTTTTGCCAAACCCTAAGGTTTTATTTCAGAGAAAAGTAAATGCTATCCTTTGGTGCGACGTTTGCTTATCGTGGAAATCGAAAACACGTGCTGACATTTATCTTATAAGGATAATATAAATCACCAAACGATTCTTTAAGAATTCTCAGTTGAGTTTGCGTACGCAATACTACTAGAGTTTTAGATGTATTGACCACGAGTACATATCAGCACAGTAATTTTAATTTTAGTTTATGTATGTATATGAGAAAAGTTTATTGCGTATGCAAAACCATAATTATAAATGCTTTTTAAAAGTATTTGAGTGAGGTATATATGTAACAGATTATGTACTTAACATATATACTTACACATACATATGTGCCTTTCATTTTGTACTGAATTTTTTTTAACATGAAATCTTTTAGTACTCCTTTAAAATATATGCATGTAATATTTTTTATTTACAACTATTCAAAGGCTTACACATGACCAAAATCGTAATAAATAAATAAAAATAATTGTGGTTTTTTAAGAATATTACTCTGATTTGTGTACTTAAAATGGCATTTTATCCGTTTTTACACTTTTATACAGAAAGTTTAATTCAAAAAAAAAAAAAATATCAAATTCTTGTTGTGAATTTCGCAATTAAATTAGAATTTTGTATTTCGACACTTTTTTTAACTTAAACTGGAATCGTTTCATTACAAATATACTACATACATTACATACACGTATTAAAGAACTGGACAACAACACAAAGATAATGAAGTAAATAGAAAAATTGTATATCGAAATATATATGTAATAAACAAAAGAAAAAAAACGAAATAGCATTAACATAAGAACTGTTGAATTTTTAAAAATGCATTTATATACGCACAACCAAAATATAACACTTCCATACATACATACACACAATAATGAGCAACGGATGTTAGCTGTACATCAGTACATATCCCCTCGTATGTGTATATGTACCACAAGAAACTATTTATATTATATACGTATTTATTATCTACTAATTACTTTATAATAGTGAAAACAAAATCATTTAATTTTACACTATAAGTTCTTATTCTCGCCGGAAATTGTATAAAAACGTTCGTATTTGTATTATATAATAAATCTGGATTGTAAAAAAGGTATGAAAATAATTACAAAATAATTTTCTATTAAAAAAATGATACTGTTTTAAAATTTTATGTTCGAGCATGCAAGCGAGAAAAAATTGGAATTGATTCCATATAAATAAGCAATTTATGGATTTTAACGACATAAGAATTATTATAACTTGAAATTATGCAATTAAATGAAATATAATTTGAAATTAAGTTGAGCACAAAATAAAATGATGAGATAGAATTTTAAAAATTTGCTTTTGCTTTTTATTCCACCATTCCACCAAAAAAACTCAATTTAATCGAATAAAGCTCACGACGCATTAAAACGCAGTTACATTGCCTATCTTAAACTAGCAGAATGTAATCATTTGGTACTCTTCACAAAAGCCCATAAAGAACAAAGATGATATATGATCAAAGAAGAAGGCGTGATCTCAAGGTATAGACAAATTAATTAGTAACCATTGGAAACTAGTGACCGAAAATAATGCAAGAATTTATTCGCTGGAAAGCATGTCTGTGGCGTCCAAAGATCGTCATTTTTGTGACACCCCCCAAAACCATTTCGAATATTTTGCGGTTACGTGAACGAGGAATCCAATAATGAAACTCATTATCAAGAAAAGCTAAACTTTGTTTTCTGCCACAGTACACATATAAGACCTACCTCAAACCTAGGATCTTTTCTGAGAATATATTTATATATACATTTTATTTTTTCAAATGAATGTACTGCAAATGATTCTGATATTATTTTTTATTTAATTTTTTCTATTGGTAATATATACGTTAATCGCACGCTTATCGAGTAATCTCCAGTACGATATACAAAGAATTCATTTATAGAATACCTTTTAACACAACGTCTTACACAATAATTTTAGTGAGAATGTGAAATTACAATTAATCCTCATTCTCACTGCCGCTGCCGCTACCACTGCCAGCGTCGTGATTACTGCCACCACCTTCATCACCAGTGCCACTGGCTCCACTTTCACTGTCACCACCACTTCCCTTTCCGCTACCATGATCGTCATCCGACTCGCTGTCAGAATCCCGCAATGCTTTGACCGATTTCGACTTATCCTTTTTCTTACTACGTCGTCCCTCGAAGTCTGAGCCATCATCTTCATCTGAAGAGTAGATAGCTGACCCTTTTTGTTCTGATGTAACAGATGGCGCACCACCTCCGCCACCGCTGCCACCCTTTTTATACTTATTTTTAATGGCACTAAGGGAAATGGCGTTTTCATCATCGCTTCCTTCGTCGTGGTGATACGATGAATTTGCACTTCCGTGCGCATCAAGCGCTCCGCCTTTCTTTTTCTTAGGTTGAGGCTTGTGCTGCATGCGCATTGCTTGACGTAATTTTTCTTCCTCCTTCTTGAGATTGTACTTACGATCGGTGGTGGGATCTTTACCGACTTGTGTGAGAATCTTAATACCACTGGTCTTTTGTGAACGATCTGCCAATGACATTGTCATCTTCTTGTGAGTAAACGATTCAGTCGAATGTGGTCGGAAGGTGAGCTTGGTACGGAACACTGCTTGTCCTTGTAAACCGGTACCTTGACGAATAAACATATGGTTGTGATCACCATGCAGTGGTTGTCGATAAACATCGAAGGTTTCATTGCCTAAATGCAAAGTCATGCTACCATCTGACCAGCGTACAAATCGTGCATTTGATTCCTTGATCATGTCACCATTGTTGGCCATATACTCGCGCCAACGTATAGTATTGCTGACTTTCAATTTAATACGTTGCCGACCTTCTTCGTCCATAGTCTCCTCCTCATCAATTTCATCTTCATAAGTCTCCGAATCAAATGGCCGCGTATCAACCGAAAGGAAGTTAGGAAGCTTTACAAAATGTATTTCTTTCCCAAGATCCGTTACAATACGTGGAATTTCGACATCAATGCGTGTTTCAGGAATGGGCTCGGGCTCATCTTCTTTTTGCGGTTGGTCCTCCACTCGCGCAGGACTACGAGAACGAGAACGTGAACGCGAAGAGCGTGAACGAGAACGAGAGCGTGATTTGGAACCTGAACCAGAGCGACGTGAGCCGCTGGGTGAACTGGATTTTGATTTAGTACGTGAACGTGTGCGGGAACGACTTTTTCGTGAGCCAGCATTCGATTTTTCCCCATCATCTTCTGATAAACTGATGTCGTCGGCATCACCGAAAATATCATTTGCATCAATTTTTTGGGATTGCTAAAAATATAAATCGTTTATTATTATATCTGATTAAATCAGCATGTTAAACATACCTCTTCATTCTCACTCTCAGAATCGATTATGCGTGCTTTTTTAGCCTTTGAACCGGCGCCTTCATCGCTTTCTTCACCACTACCTCTTTTTCTCTGTGGACCCTCCGATTCGGAACCACTAGATGCAGCTGCATGCTTTTTCTTTTGTCGTGCACCAAAATCACTACCTGATTCAGATCCACTACCAGATTTTCCAGATTTTCGTGATGTCGGTGTACCTGATCTAGAGCGTGAGCCAGATCGTACACGTGACCCCGAACGTGATCTTGTTCCACTCCTTGAACGAGACCCAGAATGCGAAGATCCCCCAGATTTGGAACGAGGTGTACCAGAATGAGACCGACGACTTTGACTGCGCGAGCGTGAGCGTGAATTAGCACGGTCATCTATTTGCAAATTAGGCGACTGGGACCGAGTGTCTTCATCGTTAGGTGTTTGGTTAGCTGGTGATTCTGCATTACGCTTGGGGGATGATTCTTGAATAGGAGTTTGACCACGACCTTCCACAGGCGTTTGTTGTCTATTTCTCGCTGGCGACTGTGTGGGACTTCCTGTAGCTGAATGCATACTATTGGTAGCAGGAGAATTCTCCCGGCTAACTGCTGATGTAGCAGAATTTTGCCTACTTTGAGCAGAACCGGATCGCCTACTGTGCGGGGAACCTGATGCTGAACGCGATCCAGAATGGGAACCGGAATTGCTTCGAGAGCCCGAACTTGAAGATGAGCGTGAGCGCGAGCGTGATTTTCTATCGCTACCACTACCCCTTGAATGACGACTGTTCGGTGAACTACAGATACAAACAAAAAAATAAAAATAAATAATCTAAATACTTCACTTTTATTACCCTGGTTCAGTATCGTGGTGTTCCAAAGTATATCCTGGTGTAGGGGCGGTTTGTGGGGAAGGAGACCTGCTCTGACTGCCTTCCGATTCTGAGCCTATGTACAAAAAAAACAAAAGTTGTACCGATGTTTTACTTTATACTGTAAAAAACTCACCGCTTCCATCGTCAGAACTATTGCGACCCATTTTTTACGGTCTAAAATTAAAGCAAACTAGTGGAAATAATAATAAAAATATTCAGTATAAAGTTATATTTCCTTCGCTTGTGTTTTTACACAGTGAACGTTGTTTAATACGAGTAATCGATAAATATATTTGATGTATCGATATTTTGTTTTCTGACAGCCAAACAAGCATTTAACATTCCCTATAGCGAAGATCTTGCATTCTTCACTTATAAGTACAATCATCACTGACTGACTTTGTCACATTAATGAAAATGTCTACATTATCAATTAAATCCCTTCACAAATTACTTCTATAAACAAATTCTAATGAATTTAAATGCTATTATTTACATATATTTAGGTATAGTTATCAAGGAACCTAATTTGAAATTAACATTACAAGTATTTAAATGGCATACTCTTTTCTAATATGATTTTTACAAAGCATTTTGCATTAAATTGGTAATAAGCCAATACATTATTTTTACTTATAGTAGAATGCAAAAGCGGCAGCTAGCAGGAGCTTAGTCGAAAATCTTTTCAGCGGTTATAAAGTGCTGTTTAAATAATATTAACATCAGTCGTTTGCCATTTTATTGGAAGCAGCTACTTTTGTAAATTCGCCTTTGTTTTTGAATTTCGCTTGAAGGCCGCAGAATGTCAGCTTTTGTAAATAAAGCACAGAAGCGGTTTAAAGTGGTATTTTACAACATTAACAACTTCACTTTACAAATAAGATTTACTAAAATGTCCAAACAGAATTGCAAATATTGGGAGAAGTGTTATCAAAAAAATGCAGCACACTTGGAAAAGTTTAATCATCCTCCAAAAGGTGTGAAAATAGCGGAGGACGAAGATTCAAATCCTTCCTCAAACACAGTTGGTGAAATTGAAGCTTTCACACGGAATTCCTCTCCTTCGAATCAGAAAAAAATGTCAATAAATAAGGATTGCGAAACAGAAAATACGGATGCAGAGAGCACAAATTTGCCTGGCAAACGCAAAGAATTCGATACAACTGAACTGCGCGCTGAAGCGCTAGGAAATATACAAGGGAAGAATTACATGGAAATTCTGGCAAAACGTATAAAGTTTTCAGTGCAAGCTGAGTACGATGAATTGTTGCGCAGTAATGATTTCATACGACATAAGTTTCTCGTGGAAATGCCTGCAGATTTCTATTCATTTTGGAAATTCGCTAGCAACATTAATCCAAAAAGCACAGGTGATGAAATACTAGAATATTTTGAAAAGCAATTTCAACTACAGCTGGTCGGGCCATTTGAGTTCCTTTCTGGCCGTTTTCATAAAGCTGTTATACGTGAACCGGGTGACTATTTACGGCATTGGCGATTCTTCTATGATCCTCCAGAATTTCAAACAATATTTGTGCGTCGAGACACTGGGGTTCATTATGGTTATTGGAGAGATTCACCACAAGAACATCATAATATATTAATAGCACGCAATGATGCCACGAAAAATTGTGTGTTCGAATTTATAGCCGGTAATGCTTTTGATGCATTTCTTTACTTTCTTGAAAAAGATTTTACAAGTACACCATTTACTGCAACATTGATAGCGAACACTCAAAAATCACTTCAAAAGTTTATTAATACAAGCGAAGTGAAAATAGAGAAATTGGAGACGCTACGGAAACGTCGTAGCGCCAATATCGTTGCTAAAACTTTACACGAAGCCGGTATTGTTGTCCCGTACGATGGTAAAACTCAGGTTGGTTATAGACCGCTTATTGTTTCTAACGGCGAATTAAAGCAAATCTTAGATCTTTTTGTAAAAGCTGGTTCATCAGATGACTCATCTGCTGTTGACAATGAGGATATTAAAGCAGCTGTAATTGAAAAACTACAGCCCATAGCTACTGCTGCCAACATTGCTATGGATGAGTGCGACTTCGGGACTGCCCTAGAATTGGGAATCGACCTATTTTGTAGTGGCCGACGTGAATTACATCCACTTATACAATCTTTGTTGGTTCCAGCATATACACTTCTAAGTCGACCACAATTTATCGCTATTTCAAAAGCACACTTGGAGCAGCGTAAAAAATCACTTAAACTTAGTATTTTTGAGCTGGATTCAAAGTAATACTTTTAAGAAAATCATGTAATTAATATAAAATAAAAATAATAATTTCCACCAATTCCCCAGTTACCGTATTTATTTTCAGAAATCAAAACCTTGTAATAAACCTCATTGCAAATTATTTACATATAGAGGTGCGATGTTTCTCTATAAACTGGTTTGTAGGTGTCATTGCAACTTATTCCCAGATCCTGTAGTAATTTTATTATTGGTTTCGCCGCTAATGTGTCTAGTGACACATTGTCCGTATAGGCTACATAAGCCGAGGCAGCCAAATTTTCGTTATGACGCCAACAAGCGACTAAAAATTATAGGTAAAATTGACTATGTTTTTACTAATATAAATTACGTTTATACTTACTGCCGGGTGCAACGCCCACTACAAAATTAGGGGGCTCTAATTCTTCTACGTGCACTAATTGAGAATTTATTCCTCTTAAGAAAGTAATGTCATCACGCACGTTTTGTAAATTTTCACTCTGATATTCAATTTTCGATTTCACGGTCAAAGTGATGACCTTTTCCGCTTCTTTCGCATATGGCAGCAACAGCTCCGTCACTTCTCCACTATTTGTGAGGTCTTCATACAATAATGCGATTAATAACCCCTGCTCTTTAACGTAACTCAATGAAGATTTTGATGATGATATTTTACATATCCTTTGTGCGTTTTTTAATAATAACGCTTCTACAAATTCCGAAATGTTAGTGCCTTCTATTAGCAAAAAAATTTTAGTTGGCGGTGGTGTTTGAGTTTCGTTTGGTTCATACAGCAATTGAAGCCTAGAAGAGATGGTAATAAATTTTAAGTTCAGTACAAGTTTATCAACAAATACAAGTCACTTTATGATTTCCTTATCCTTAAGTACTGGTTCGTCCTCATCGCAATCATCCCAGAAGGCACGGGAAGACGGTATATTTAACTCTCCAAAACCCATTGGACAACCCATTTTTGAACAATTTCACTTTCGGATCAACTCTATCTGCTTTTTTATTTAAAAGTGGAGTACATTCTGTTCAATTTTTGCTTGTCATCTGCTAGGAGTGTGTTCAATAACACTTTGAATTCGCCTTTGCACGTATATTAATAACAATGATCGTATATTAATTAATATACGTTCTTTGGAATTAATTTGTCAGACAAGCGAAGCAAATATAGTGAAATACAGGAATCAAAGAAATGGTACCAAATTTTTTGTTATTCCCAGACTTTTTCCTCCCTACCAGTTCATAAGCAAAATTGAATTAAAAAATTAATATGTAAAAGCTTAGCCAAGCCATGAAACAAAAAAACAAGACAGTTTCCCTCAAAAAATTTCTTTTTTTTTTCAAAATATCGACCATCTGACATAAAAAGATTGTTTGACGTTGACTTCATTTTTGTGCTATTATTTTCATTTTTTTAAAATAAGTCTTCAACTTTCTAAAATTAAAAAAAAATGTATTACAAATAATGCAAAATATTTCAATGTAAAAAGAAAAATAAAGAAACATAAAACGTACTCTCAAAAATCAAAAAAGGCTTTGCATTATATTTTCTAAAATCTAATGGAAATAAAATTATTTTCTGTTCAGCATTTTTTTATAAAAAAATATAGGAAATATTTTTAAAGTCGCAATATCTTGAAGTCAAAATGAAAATAAAATATGTCAAAGAATCTTTTCTTGTCAATTTTATACTGGGTGAAACTATTACCTACCTTTTTTGGATCATAAGCCAATTCAAATAATTATCGAAAATTTAAAAAATTAATTTAAAGGAAACCATTACTAAGCTTTCGTAAATTGTATTCGCTTTAATGCCTAGTCTTCAATATTAATACATTTAATTTTAAATGCATTATTTTTGGGCATTAAAATGTGTCTATGTAAATTAAAGTTAAATTGGCTTTGTGAATAGTATATTAAAAAACCAAAATTTTTGTAAAATCTACTCTTCTACAACTACTCCAATTGCTGAATGAATACACTCTTCCTTATTGATGAGATGACAGGTCTTGTTCACTAATGACATCAGCTGATTCACATCGTTAGCCCAGTTGTTTAGTATATCCGACGCGCTCTTTTTGGTTGTGAAATAAATTATTCCAACAGGTCGGTCAATTTTAACTCGTATAGTATCGCTATTCGCTAACTTTGAAAGGTATTCCTCACAACGATTCGATGGTAAATTCAACAACTCACTCATGCGAAGGAGGTGAATGCGTGAATAGTACATTGCAATTATGCGTATATTCTATATATAAAACAAAGATTTCATTATTATCATTCTTTCTTACATATAGGTTGATATTAACAGTACATACATGTTCTATTAGACGATCCTTTAACTCAGCAATGCATTTGCGACCGTGCTTAGTAGTATCAAGAAACATATCATTTTCCGCTAGTACAGTGCCAAAATCAGCGTTGAATGTATCGAAATTGATCAGTTCTTTCGACATGAACAAGCGTAGTATTTCGCTGAGAATGAAAAATACAATAAATGAATTTTGTTTTTAGGCTAATTTTCTTAGAGCTTACCGATAAGCTGGTATTTCCTCAAGTTTCTTCTTTTTGGACAAATGCGCCATCATATCACTTTGTTCGTTGTCATATGGTGATAGTACACAGTAAAGCACGGCACATATAAGTTTCTCCTTTTGCTCTTTTTCCTGTTCTGGTGTCAGTTCTACTGGTGGCAAGGCAGCAGCTGCAGCAACCGCTGCCTTAATTTCGTCTTCGCGCTTCTTTCTATCGTCCTCACTCAATTTCTTTTTTTCCTCTTCAGTTAACTGTGGTACTGCAGATGCAGGACGAGGGGGTTCAGCGATTGCTTGGTAGTGACGAGAGGTTTTTAAGAATGAACCATCTCGGTCCAGCCGGATCATTAAGTTATAAAATTTCAATTTCAAGTCATGCTGTGCAGGATCCTCAAAAAACTTTATACTTATTTTCTTTGCAATGATTTGTGTTGAAACGAAGTCTTCCTTCAACAAACACAGTCGCATTTGTTCCAATATAAATTCAACTTTTTCACGTTTATCCATAGAGCCGTAAGTTTCCACCTGTAATTCTTCCATTACAGAAGCAGCACCAGCAACATCACCATCGGCTTCTTTAATATCAGCCAGTATTTTTGTTAATCTTGCCCGTTCAATTTCTACATAGATTTTTCCTTCGGTAACAGTGCGCAGAGTGTCAATCAATTTCAATTTAGTGGCCTTGTCAGGAGTTTTATCCACATATGTGCAGCACTCTTGTATCATTTTGGAAACAGCTTGCTTGAGTTGCGAACGTCTACGTGCCAATAATGAAACATACTCATTTAACGCATTCCAGTTTTGAGCTTCAAAACATATTTGGCATATTGCAACAAGCACTCGTGAACAAGAAACCATATCTGCACCCTATGGAATACGTTACAAATTATTTTTTCATACTAACGTGAAATATTAGAAATAGATTTTTACCAAACGAGTTTGTTTCTCCAACTGAAGTAATAGTTCAATAGCGTCGTGGAAAGCTTCAGGATTTTTTCGGGCCATATCCTTGGCTAATGGAATTTTTTCGTCACATGCAGGTGAATAATCCACCTCCATTTTCGTGATTCGGCCACCTTCAAATAAGTAGTTATCCATTTCGCAGTTTTAACTAATATATATAAAAATAATAATGGAATTAGAGTAAAACGTCTTTTATAGTTTCAAACAGTTAAATCAACGAGTAATTTATTTTATTACTGGGGAAAATATGTTCTGCTTGAATTTGCTTTATTCCAATTTACAAATTTTCAACCAAATTCAGTTAGATTAGAAAAAATATTGTAAATGCGGCTAAAAATCCTCTTGGAATAATTTTGCTTACTAATCAATTAAGTTGGATGTGATTGTGCGAGATGTCAACATTGGTTACAACAGGGTGTATTGTACGAATAATTTAATACATTGGATCATAGTTCCTAACATCATAATTTGGACCCGTATTTATTACACAATTTTTTTTAATATACTTGCATATGAACTTTAGCGATAGCAATATTTTTATTTCAATTGTAATTGTTTATAAGTTTAAGTATAAATCGCCGCTGCTTATTAGACACGTTCCAACTGACTGCTGGCTGTCAAAATGCCATCAAAATTGATTGTCAATTGTTTGCTATTTGCATTTTGCGCCTGAAATTTTATATCAACGTAGGAAAGTATTTGTTTTCACCGTATGGAAATATTTGATTCTATATTACATTAATACATATATAGAAAGCCTTTGGAAATAGATCGATTCAATTAGTGTAGATCTGAGCTATTGTAGCTGCAGTTGAAATCGGAACTTAGTTATTAAGCTGTAAATCTAAAAGGAGGCATGGCGCGTATTCACGAGTTCGAGGATCTTGTGTTGGATGCACTTGAAGTTGTAGAATTTAAGTTAAGTAAGTATACAGCTAATTATTAATAAATATAGTTATATAAAAGCAATATGCTTCTATAAAAGAGTGCATCAATTTTTCCAGTACGACGTAAGCAAGATCTCGAAGACGACAGCCTGGTTTTCCAACCGTTAATGGCACATCAAATTTTTGGAGAATCGGAGAGCATATTTGGTTACAAAGATCTGCAGGTGCGCATATTATATACAGCCGGACCGCTTCATATTTACATTGGCGTTGAATATAGTAGTCGAGTAAATGAATTATCCAGTGGGGACATAAAAGCCGACAATGTCGTGCTAACTATAGCCGAGAAATTACCCGATGGCTGTTTCTTTGTTAATATGGATGAGTTCTTGAAAACGCTAGACAAAGCAGACAAATTCCAGCCATTTGGGGAAAAATTATCAGAACATAAAGTGACTGATGCACAAGGCACTGAGCGCCTGTTTGAAATATATCATTGTGATTATAAGGTGTCGGCATTTCTAAAATTCTTTGGCCGTTTACAAACATTCATTCTCTGGTTTGTTGATGCTGCGTCTTATATTGATGTCGATGATACACAGTGGAGTTATTTTGTATGGTACGTATGCACCAACTGAAAATCATTAAAAAAAGTAATGTAACATTTACGTTTCAACAGTTATGAAAAGTATAAAAATGACAATGGTGACTACCAATATGCAACAGTTGGTTACACCACCGTGTATGAGTATTATGCATACCCACAACATATTCGACCACGTATCAGTCAGGTATTAGTACTACCACCATTCCAAAAACTTGGTATTGGCACTCGTTTCGTAGAGACCATATATAAATATTATCAATCACAAAAGAACGTCATTGATATGACTGTAGAAGATCCCTCCGAAGACTTTCAGCGTTTACGTAATTTTGTAGACGCACGTTTGTGCCTGGGTTTGAAAAGCTTTGCAAGTGGTGTAATTAAAAAAGGCTTCAATAAGGAGATGATACGAGAAGCACGCGAAACTCATAAAGTATGCACATACATATACATGCATTTACCAGCTTTTACTTATTTTTTATTGTTTCTTTTTCATTTTCAGTTGAATCCTCGACAGTGCCGCCGTGTCTACGAAATACTCCGACTTTATTACACAAATCTCAATGACTACGATGATTACCATGCTTATCGTTTGGATGTGAAGCGGCGTTTAAATGCGGTTTATTATAAGCAGTTAAATGATATTAAGAAAATGGAAAAAGCAAAAGTGGATACCGAATGGTTGCGGGCGCGCTTGCCTACTCCAAGTCAACGCATCGAACAATTACAAGAAGAGTACGCACAAGTGGAAAATGCATATAAACAAATTATTCAAAAGTTGCGCACCTAAGCATACTAAATGTAGATTTGACATTTAACAGAAACGATTAGATTTGTCAACATGTCCTTACTTTTTATGTAATAAATTTTAAATTATTGAAAAAAAAAACAAAATTATTTTCTCTTATTAATGGAGCTCTGAACGCCCGGGAATCGAGCAGCTCGGCACTCATTTACTGTGCAAGTTTATTAAAACCACCCACCAACAAATGTGGGGTTAAAGGTTTCATGAATTTATTTCGATTATAATATATGAACATACAATATACATGCATAAGTACATATGTATGTATATTTTCATATATTCATATTATAAATTGTTTGTATAAAATTGTTTATTGACTATGACTTATCGAACATACACTTTTCAATTGTGTAGGTGCCCCAACCGTGTATTCTCAAGCTAAGTGGTTAGATTCACATGGTCTAATACATGTGTTTGAATATGTTTTGGAATAGGAAAGGTGGGCACTTTTAAATTCAAGTGAATCCGGAATAAGGTTCTTAGCTAAAGATTGAGAAATATATTAATAAACAACAGCTCGGCCTTTAGTTATGGAAGTTCTATAATTTAAGGTGCCTTAACTGTAAGTAATTATATGTTACATAGGCATTTAATATTACAAAATTCTGAATTTACCTAGTATTGAGCGCGCTTTGGGTTTATTTATTTATATATGCATGTATGTATTTATATTTTTTTTTTGTTTATTGCTTATTGAGTTATGTATGTTTGTATGTAAAAGTTTTCATATGCGTATAAATAAATAATGAGCAATTCATCGCTCCGAGAAGCATCACTAGCTTAACATGAACCGTAAACCTCCATCCATTTTTCAAAACGTGTAACGTCGTCCAACGAAACCGATTGCTTAGTTCGCTCCATAGCGTCTTGGAAATCCTGAACTGTTATGGGTTGATCAATGTCTTCACGGCGTATATCCTTAATTTCAGCTGGTGAGCGACCAGCAATGAGACGACGCATTGCCATCATGGCGGCATCTCGACATACATTGCTAATATCCGAGCCAGAATAACCTTTGAGCTGATCTCCAATCAGATTTGTGTCCAAATGTGGTGAGAGGCGAACATCTTTGAGGCAGAGTTTGAGAAGAGCTGAACGTGTCTCCTCTAAAAAAAAGGAAAGAAGAATGCAGATGTAGATGAATACAGTGTATACGAGAACATGCATATGTTTTCTATTTATTGGGAATAAATTTCAAGTTGCTGCAGAACAAATTATTTACGTTATACTTTCAGATCTCCTGCTATTGTAGTTGTCATTACCTAACCTCAATAACAAAAATAAGTAATCGCTATCTTTACGCTCAATAATTTTGAGAACCTTCGCTTTCTATTTACGGTTTTTTGACCTTTCCCGTAAGCTATAAAGACTCTGAAATGTGGCCTTAGCAACATTTCTTTCGGTTTCTATAACCATTTCTTCTGATAATCAAGTCAGGCTTGTTTGAATATTATTATTGGTTATATCTCATTATCTTACCATTTGGAAGAGCGATGTAAATTCTTTTTTCGAATCGTCGTCTGAAGGCCTCATCAATATCCCACGGATGATTGGTCGCAGCCAAAACCATTATTATCTTATCATCCTGTAGTGTGGCATTCAGACCATCCATCTGTATTAGCAGTTCTGCTTTAAAGCGTCTACTCGCTTCATGCTCCGAATCACTGCCACGCGATGTGCACAAAGCATCGATTTCGTCGAAAAATATTGTGCTTGGCGCATAGAATCTTGCCATCTCGAATAGTAACCGCACGAGTTTTTCGCTTTCGCCCCGATACTTTGAGGTAAGCGTCGCTGAAGAGACATTAAAGAAAGTGGTGCCGCACTCAGTAGCTACTGCTTTCGCTAACATTGTCTTCCCAGTGCCGGGTGCACCCACCATCAATACCCCACGCCAGGGTCGTCGAATACCTTTGAAGAAGTCAGGCATAATTATCGGCAAAACTACTGCTTCTTGTAAAATTGCTTTAGCTTCATTAAGGCCGGCTACATCGCTCCATTTAACTCCTGGATTACGTTGTAGTATATCCTTCTCCAAGGTGTCCACCAAATGTGGTTCATAGCCAATGGGTGAAAATATTTTCGACTTTGTTTTCGGCGAGCTCTTCGGCGTATTCTGCGACGTGGAATTCTCCTCCAAAGATGTGATTTCCTGGTCGTCAGAATTGGAATTCTCATCAATGGAGTTTTTCTTCAGCTTGTCCTTGAGTTTGATTTGGGTGGTTAGTTTGCGTGCACGTATCCTCTCCACACTGCGACTTTTGCGTGTTGCCGTAATATTCGAAGTCTTGATGCTACGCGAACTGCGTCCCTTATCCATGCTATTACTTAGTGTGCCTCCCACGTTGTGGGCACTGCCATGATGGCTTAGATTAATTGAGGGCAGTGTTGGTTGAAGTTCAGGATCACGTGAACGACGCAATGATGATATCCAGCGGTTATCATTATGATTCGGAAATTGTATGTGTGTCGCGTTGTTACCGTTAACAAGTCCATTGGCGCCATTGCTGGTATTTTGATAGAGAGGGTTTGTGGCACCGGCTGTGGGGGGCAAATTTGTATTAGGGCGAGGTTGTGGGGGCACTTCTGGAAAAACATCTGAATTAATATTGACACACGGCACTGTAGATATGCCGCAACTATTCATATTTAACTTACCTTGCGTTGGAATACGCGTCTTTCGCAGTCCTCCTCCCATGCTACTGCCAGCGCCCAAAGTGGCCGAACTGCCGGGAGAAAGGCCGCTTAATGTGGTTGTGCGTGTGGTTTCAGTTTTCTTAACATTTCCAGTGCGCGTTGGTCTGTGCGTAGTTGTGATTTTCGTGAAGGCAAATGGTGGATATTGATCCAATATCAGTGAGTCCATCATACGTGCGACATGTGAAAGGCCCGTTGGCGGAGTTGTGGAAGTACTGTTGGGGAAATGGAAATAAAAGAAAATTACAAATAAATACATATATATACATATTGCATATTGGACGGTCTACAGTCACACTTAAGATCTGATTAAATGCTTCAAAGAATGTGAAACGAACACCTTTTAAATTTGTCATCTTCATATTTGAATGGCTGAACCGAAAAGCGTCCATCATGCCTTTTAGTTATTTTCTAAGCATGCAACTGATATTCTAACTTCGTTATTGTACACCGATGGAATGTCTACTCGCGCTGTATCCAGCCAACCAACCAACCAACGAAACAACCAATTTGCTTGATAAGTTATCTTATGCTGCAATCTTGCATTTTGAGGAGAATCTCATCGCGGAGCCTGAATTTTCCGATAATCGTACCAAAGTTACTTTCTTTTCTCACTTAAATTTATCCATCACAACTCCTAGGCGGCGTTGATACGATCAAAAACCAGTTGAGCAGCAGAACCTATCCGATTAAGCGACAGGACATGCCCTCAATTAACCCGCCCTCGAACGACTGATGGTTGTTTATGAGGAGCCTTTATTTCAAATCAAAAATCACTCGGAGGGGTGTTCATTCCCTGACGATGGGCGACCGCATTTAGAAAAATTAGCTTATTTTTTATTTAATTTAATTTTCTATAATTTTTGGATGTTGTCCTCTAAAACTGCTCCCTAACTCAGAGCATTCATTGTAGACGGCCGCTCTAAAAACGTCTAATATATTAGAATGGAGCCATCGAACCTTTGGAGAGAAAGCTCACCCGTTCTTCTGTCATTGCAGCTACCTTAGTCATGTTTATACGTTACCCGAAACAATCAAAGTTAGATAGCCTTGCAGTGAAGAGCTCGAGGCGTGAAAAAATTTGAGCTTAAACAGAGAAGCCCTGAGATTTCTTGAACATTATCCTCAAATCTCCACAGACATCTAAAAACTTCTAAATCAAAACGCATATAACGAGTATGTGAATTTTTCAAATCTTTTATAAGGTCAAGGGTTCTTTTCTGCAAATGATAAAATGTTTTGAAAATTTCCAACGTCCCGTTGACAGAAGCAACAAAATATTTCCACACGCACAACCTTTGTAAGCAAAATACTCGTACATGTTTCAGGTGCCTTGTACTAGTATACATGTACACATAAGCGACATTGGCAGCAACAGAACAGCATGCATGTATGCTTTTGGAAAGTAAATACAGATACAATTTGTATAGTATTGCAATAGTGGTATTCAAGAACCGTTCGACGGGCTCTTGCTCTTTTACCTTTTTGCAGCCATTGCAAAAATCATTCCTCATTCTCTTACCGCAATGTCCCATTAAACAGTAACCAGTTAGTATACCAGTTGTTGTATTTTTTATAGTTAGACTGGAAACTCTCAGTAGTTGCAGAGGCTATAGGTGGCATAAATTCATACATACATACATCTATACCGACAGATGTTTTATATACATATGTATATAGAGAAAAATAATTAGTAATAAATAATAATAGAAATCGTTCGCAGTTAAGTGAATTTTTTTTCTTTCTTGTAGTTATTTTCCCCATTAAATTTACACCAATTCGTCTTATATATTATATAAGTAAGTGAATAATTACAACAAGTATATAACAAACAATGTATTTACTACGTAGGGAGATAACCCACCAGTGGTCGACTGATTCGCCACCAAGGCAGGCTTGGCTGACCCACGCGGTCTAGACTCTACAATTAGACGCGGTGTGGTCAACTTAAACGTCATTATTAACTATCAATATTGATGTACATAAAAAGATGTTTATATATGCGTAAATAATGGTATGCAAGTGTATGTGTGCTGCGAGTTAAATGTATCCGCAAAAGCAGACTGAGCTTTTGGCATACAATTTATTTGAAACTATATATCTGAATGGAAAATCTATAGAAATAAATAGTGAAAATTAAACTAAAATGAGAGAGTATTATATATGTATATACATACAAACATTCATAAATTTGTGCTTAGTACTTGCAAAAAAAAATAACTATTATTCATAATATATTCTCTATGTGTTAAACTCTTTAATTACTTTAAATACGTGTATGTTTTATATACGAGGTTGTGCATACATATACACATGTACGAGCAATTACTTCAATAAATGCATACACATATATGGATTTGCAAATGTGTGCGTGACGTCTCCATTTTATGCCTGTTGAAAATATGTGGACTGGCATAGCATGACATATAATTTGAAGTGTATATTTATGTTAGTAAATATATCTTCACGAGCGCTTACATAGGCTTATGTGTCTAAAAATACATATACTCTAGATATATGCATGTACATATATAAATACCTACATTTATAACAATGCGTCCAGTTCAATAAACTTTACTGAAAATTGTCAGGTTATTGAGCTTTTCGACGAAGTATTTTATTGTTCGTCATACAGCTTGAATTGGTCAAATATTTGACACGAACATGTCAAGTATTATTGAAGACTTATTCAAAATATACTTTCTCAATTCCGGCACACGAATAGTTCTGCTTGACTTTTATTACACTTCTCTGCACAATCGCATCATTAAATTTGATAAGCATTTCATGTCAGCGGTTATGGATTATGAAACATGCTCCTTTTTATAGAGCGCTCTATTTCCATTTTATTTTGTTAGGAAGATAAGTTTGATTAAAAACCACAATCCTTAGCATGCCGAACCGAATGTTAGGCTAAGGTGTATTGAAGGCTTGAATAAATTTTCAATATTCAACATCATAGGTTATGTTAGGTTCGGTTGCGGCTATGAGATTTGACGTTTTGTTATTCCATGCCTACAAATCATATTTTTTTTCTCAGTTTCATAAGACTAGGTTGAGTATGCCGGTTTTGGGTACGATTTCCTTTTTGGTTATAAGATTTGATAAAATTCACATTTATTATATGCGGACTTATGTAAATATTTATATAAATGGCGCTTTGTAACCGGTAAAGCGATTTTCGGCCGATCATTTTCTCCAATTTTTGCTTTTCGTGTCTTGATGTTTTTCCAACAAATGAAGAGACCTACAGTTCTTACTCAGCCGACTCCGAACGGCTGGTGATTTTTTATGTGGGGCTTTTGATTTTCATACCTTGCCGAGGGGCGACGTCAATTAAGAAATTTAACTTATTTTTTAATTTAAATTAACTCTCTATAATTTTTGGATGTTGAACGGCACTACGTAATGCTAACCAGTCGGCTACTGCTGTTGCCACCAATGAAAAGCTAACTTTAAGTAGACAATTTCTTTAACTAGAAAATTTCTTCAAAATATTTAGCCATTTTTGGCAAAAAAAAATTAGTACACCATTGAAAAAGTCGAAAAGAATGGAAAAAGTTGAAAGAAACCTATTATAAATGAGGAGAAAATGAAATTTTATTTTTCTTTAATCCTTTCAGTGAAAAAAAAACTTCTTTGACTTGGTGCGCGTAAGTAATGGCATAGCTGGTGTTGCTTTCCGTCTACGTATGTATTTGTGCAGATTGATGTATACTAGCAAAACGAGAGCTGTAACTTTTGTTCTACGACTTCCACGCGTTTCCACCATATCCGTTCATTAAAACATGCATCCTTAAACACGTTAATACTGCATCATGCATGAACTATTGTAAAACATATAATACGAGTGGCAATTCAACAGATTTCGACTCTTGAACACAGGGTGAAACTTATGATCCAAATACATAAGACTTTATTAGCTTGTAAGTTGTGTATCGATGTTAATTTCTTTGACATGAATCTGATTTGATAAGGTGGGCAAATGCTTCAAATAATCGCTCTTTCGCATTGCCTTTTTGGTATTTCCGTTTTGGGTAATTTCCATTGCTTAGTATTTGCTAAGAAAATTGGGTTAATGGCTATTCTCAAACCAATGCGACCAACTCGATACAGTTAAACGTATGTACAAATGTACTTAAGTAAATGCATGTATGCGTATACATAAAATCCTTATAAAACAACTATTGTGTGTTATTAGTAGGTACTTGCCGGCCTATAGTAGTCATTGAAGGGTAAATTATTAATGTTTCTACTTATCTATACAAAAGTGGCACAATCGCTAACGCTGCTATTCAATAATGCAACAATACAACCACAAAGCAAAAATGCATTGCTCGGCAAAAACTGTTGGTTTTTTATCTTGATTTTACATAAGCCTCACATATTTATCTGTATTTGATGCCATCTTTTATTTATATGATGATTTATTTAAATTACTTACTGATAATTGTAAATTTATTTTTACCGGGGTGATTGATTTTATTTTATGATTTTCATTCTATCAAACTAGCAAGCGTCTATTTATATCTGTTGAAAGTGCATATCATGTTGTTTATACAATTTTGAATATATTATATTTAAGCTCGGTTGGTCAGGTTTAGGATCTGCCCTCAAGCAGCCGCAGCTTTAGCACAGTAATTGTGTTTCGCTCTATTTTACGAACTGTTTTAATTTCTTCCAATCAATGGTGCCGGCTCCTTGAAGATCCAACAGGGAACATCGTGGAAGATATGACATCTCAATCGACTAAAGGGCGGGTACTCCACCCTTTCGTCTTTTTTTAAACGCATAGAGCCTTCAGTCGATTCCACTATAGCTACTTTATGGAGATGATATCTCAGGGAAAGATCCCTCCACAATACACCCAAAATAATAGTTATATTTTGCTTGATGCGAGTAACAAACTATGATGCCTCAGAAAATATTAGTGTTACGTCCGATTTTTGAAGGTTTTTCCATAGTCATTGCTTTAATCAACATTTAAAGGTTTTGAAAGATCTGAGATAGCCAATGGTGTCAGCGTCATCCACCTTTTCATTGTCAGAGTTTCTACGATATTCTGTTAATTGGCTCTTTACTTGTTCTCACAAATTTTGACATTGTGTTGTGTGAACTTGGCTGCCCACCAGAACTCTAATAGATTTTCCTATCAGAGCGGTTGGTCATTTAGCCATTCAGTATAAACATGGCCACCTTCGCTATTGCCGATGAC